AAATTTAAATTTCACCAGTTGTAGTCTTCGGGTGCTGAGTCGAATGGTCTTGGTCCGAGAAAGCTGAGACCCTCCCTTCCTACTTGAATCCCAATCGAACTCGCGTACTTCCACCGAAACTGGGTGACTGCGCCCTACTAGATGGGGATTTGTATGCAAAATGTCACTAAAAGCGCCATTTCGTTCTTATAAAAGCACGGATGACCGCGATTGGCCCATATGTTGTAGTCTTTTGGACGCTGGGTCGACTGGTCTTGGTCCGAAAAGGCTGCGATGCAGCGTTCCTCCTCTATTCCCAATCGAACATGGTTGAAGAAACGGTCACGTGCTCCTGGGTGCCCAAATCACCTGGTCACCACGCCAGCAGGCGACAACTTTCACACCAAGGTTCAACTCGAGTTCAACTCGAGTGACAGGACTGCACCCAAAAAAGGTCAAACAGGCTAGTAAGTAAGTTGTACCCTGCAGGCACGGTGATCAGGTGACTGGTGTAAGGAGGAGCGCTGCATCGCAGCCTTTTCGGACCAAAACCAGTCGACTCAGCGTCCAAAAGACTACAACATATGGGCCAATCGCGGTCATCCGTGCTTTTATAAGAACGAAATGGCGCTTTTAGTGACATTTTGCATACAAATCCCCATCTAGTAGGGCGCAGTCACCCAGTTTCGGTGGAAGTGCGCGAGTTCGATTGGGATTCATCAGTGGCAAGCTACTAACATAAGCTCGCGCATCTCTTCCGGTGTGACCCAGCTACGTCGAAGCAGCACCGACCCGTCGTCGATGGTTTTCACCAGCACACGGCAGCAGCAGAAAGGCTAAACCCATGCAAAAAGCCCCACATACATGTACATGTACCTACCTGCATATACTGCAGTGTGCCGGTAGTACACTGTACCAGGGAGTAGTAAAATACCGGCATTTCACTACTCCCTGGCGCAGAACTGGGTGTGATGCATGCCTGTGCCTGTGTGTGTGTGATGGGCATCTCCTTCCTGAGAGCGCTGCATGTGTGTACGTGTGCGACTGCGGCATATGGCATGCACATGATGAGCTGACCCACGTGTTCCGCGAGTGTTTCAAATGCATTCAGAATCAGATTCTGCTGATCCTCTTTCTCCATGTGTCGACTTGGGGAGTTTGGGCGTTCAAAATAGGCCCATACAGTTTTGGCGAGTTGGTTTGCTTGCCTCTCGAGACTCTTGCCAGCTCCGCTCGAAGCTGGGAAACGGTAACGATGGCCACTGGAGCTGGAAGCTTAGCTGAAGCCGATTTTATTCATAAGGTCAGTCTGTCCTCTTTGTTTTGGGTGTGCATCCGGAAAATACCTTGCCTTTGAAATATTGAACACTAAAACAGGAGTTTGAATTCTAGTGGAGCCCAGTGCAGTCCACTGCCGCTGTGTTTCCACAGCGAGGGCTGCTGCTCCATTTTCTACAGCATTACGTCCTGGATGTCTCTTCGGTATCAGCTACTCTTCACGTTGCTCTATCATCTATGTTTCCGAGGCTTGTGTTGTGATTGTGGACTTCGTGTTCGAGCCCTGAGTTTTTTTTTTGTGTGTGCAAGATTTGGTCCCAAAATCCACGCAGTCAACGTGCAGTTGATGTGAACAGCTGCTATTCACTGTACGGGCTCTGCTCACAAACACGACGTACTTGTACGCCGACAGAATGTAATTCTCTGCCCTGTGTCATGAGACTCGTTACACCAAATGACTGCTACGTGTAGTAGCAGCTTGTTGAGTGCTGTTTGAATTGTTTACTGGGTGGGGGCCAAGGAAGGGAGAATTGTTAGTCAACATTTAATTAAGAAATGTAGTCATGCCAATGGTACAAACTATACAAGCTCCTAAGAGTGTGCAACTCTGGATATCTTTTCTATGGGGTTCGCCGATGGCGAAAACTCACATCACGTGGTGTTGTGTCCCCATGGTACATTCCCAGCCCGTTTTTAGTGACAAGTGGATTTGTAAAAGAAATACCACTATGGCTCCCTGACAGAAACCTACTCAGCTGATGCGAGCCATCAGCATGATCATGCGTGTGTGTGTGTGTGTGTGTGTGTGTGTGTGTGTGTGCGCACGTGTGTGTGTACCAAAAATCAAATCAATGCGACCACTGACATTACAGCTGGGTCATGTTATAGAGCCGTACATTGAAATTGAAAGGTGGGCACAAATGGTCAAAATCTGACGTTTTCTCATGTGCGTGTCGGTGTGTGCGTGCGTGTGCCGGTGTGTGTGTGCACGTGCGTGTGTGTGTATGTATGTGTGTGCATGTGTCTTACGGTATGTGTCCCCGGTTACAGACCCATCCTATTTCAGATGACTATGACATTGACTGGTCCAAACGGCTAGGAACGGGCATCAGTGGACCTGTAAGGTAAGACTGTGGACTGCTCAGTGGAAGAATACAGGTGTGTAGGGGGGGGGGGGGGGGGGGCGGGGACCTGTCGGGTAAGATGGACTGCTCAGTGGAAGAATACAAGTGTGTAGAGGGGGGGGGGGGGGCTGTCGGGTAAGATGGACTGCTCAGTGGAAGAGAAGAGGTGTGTGTGTGTGGGGGGGGGGGGGGGCTGTCAGGTAGGGCGGGCTGCTGGGTGGAAGGGGGGAGGTGAGTGTGTGTGTGTGGTGTGTGTGTGTTGGTGGGGGGGGGGGGGGGGACCTGTCAGGTAAGACGGGCTACTGGGTGGAAGCGAGGAGGGGGAAGGGGAGGGCTTGGTGATCGGGGTTTGGGACAGCATTGCTTGTATCACATGCAGTTTGCGCAGTTTTTCTCGCTTGCTTTGGGGTAGCTTTGAGATATTCAGTGTTTGACCACTGTGTGGTAGTGGGTCTGATCTACTCATCTGCCACTGCTGTAGTAGCTACATCTGTGCCTTGATCCTTGAGGGCGGTGGCGTTCCTGCGGATGAGGAGGAACAGTCTGATATGGGCAGTGATTTGCTTTGGTAGCATTCTATCAGGATTGGAAAGTTTGTATGTTCTGGTCATGGCTCTATGACAGAACGCCACTACCATTGCCCATTGTGCTCTCAGCCGACCCAATCAACTTGTACACTCAGCACCATAGCGAGGACAATTGGTATTATCAGGTCCCGCCGCCGCGCTGACGGGTCTTCTGCTTGTCTGACCTCATCACTACTTAGCTATGTATATGGGACCAGTGCAATCAATTTGTCGATCTTCCCGTTGCACGTATGGTGTGTGTGTGTGTGTGTGTGCGTGTGTGCGTGTGTGCGTGTGTGCATGTGTATGTGCATGTGTGCGTGTGTGTGTGTGTGTGTGTGTGTGTGTGTGTGTGTGTGTGACACTGTGTGTGCGCGCACGTGCATGTGTGCTTGTATTTGTGTGTGCTGTGAATGTGTGTGTGTGCTGTGTGTGTGCGTGCACGTGTGTGCATGTGTATGTGTGTGTATGTGTCTATCCACTGTTCAGGCCTTGCACTCATAGAGCTAGCCGCGATGCGTGTGCCCTCAAGTGTTTAACGGACTCTACGCGTGCCAGGCAAGAGGTACTGTTATACTCACACTTGTCACCATACCTGTGTTGATACGCCCTACAGTCCATTTCAAAACTATAGACGCGTACCTAGGCAAAAACCGTTATGCCAGCATCTATACCACATAAAATGATCACTTTGTGCATAATGTTTTCCAAATTGAGCGTCTGTTATCCAATCCTTTAGAAACTATATGAGAGTAATTGTGGAGCGATCCTGAGCAATATTCCGAAAACTATTCTCAAAAAGTTCCAGCCAAATTTGAAATATTTCAAAAACCCTACGCGTCTATAGTTTTGAAATGCACTGTAGTGTATTGTACAGGCCTGCTCAATGAAATCCAGCCACGTCACTCAAGTACGCGCCTTGCATCATTTCGCGGCCCGGTGTTTGCAGGTCTAGGGCTGTGCAACGCTCGGCGCGTACTGGAGTGACGCGACTGGATTTCATTGAGCAACACTGTATTAAGGCCTGTCTCGTGTGGAAGCCTGTTTTGAATATGCGCCTGGTTTTCAAGATGCTTTGGTAGCATATATGCCTGCTTTTAGTATTGGCATACATAGAAATATCTGGTTCGAATTGAAGCCTGACTTGAATAGAAGCTTAGCACTGATATCGGCTTCTGCAGGAAACGCCCGGCTCTAATGCGCGACATTACGATAGCCATTGCTGGTCATCGTTTGATAATGCAATCTCTGCTTTAGGACAGTGCTGCTCAATGAAATCCGATCAAGTGAGTCAGCTTTGCGCCCTGTACGATGGTTCAGAGCATAAGCATGTAGCGGAGATGCTGCCAGCATTGTTAACAATGCAATCTGTGTCTTGTTAGTTTTAGCGGTGGTTTGGGCGAACATCCTGGCCCACCGACTTGGTTACACTGTACGCAATTGTGTGTCTCTTTTTCTTACCCAAATGCTCGTGTGTTTTTCCTCTGCCTGTGTTCGTCTTGTTTTCTCTCCCTCTCTCACTCACACTCACGACGCACACACACTCTCTCTCTCTCTCTCTCTCTCTCTCTCTCTCTCTGTCTCTCTCTCTCTCTCTCTCTCTCTCTTTCGCTCTCTTTCTCTCCTTCTCTTCTTTCTCGTCATCCCCTGTGGCATACATGTGTGTATAGGTCAGGCTGCATCTGCTGTGTAGCTCACACAAGCACATCGTGGCGGCACGTGATGTATTTATCAATCGCATCCAGCTGCCAGGGGATGCGCATCCTAGGTGAGCCTCTTGTCTGTACCCACACCAAGCCTGTAACCGTGTATCATTCCTGCCTGTGATATGTCTCAGTAAGCTACCAGCAAGATAGGGAAGGGTGTGTGTGTTTGGGGGGGGGGGGGGGATGTTGGGACGGGACACTGTGATAAATCCAAAGGTGTCACCCGGTACTCCCTGGTGAATCCTCTTTTAGTTTTAGTGCCTGCACCATTGTGTTGCCATAGCTTGCCCGAAGACTAGTACTGTAGCAGGACAAATTCACTCTTTTGACATAATTATACGACACGCCAGAATACCAGCTGTTTAGTTTCGGAGTATTTCCGCCGTTCCGTCCGAGTGTATGATCTATGTCAGTGACAGACTATATGTCGTGGTAGATTTCCCTTGTGACCAGAGGAGACCACACGGCGCCTGCAGACACCAGCACGAACCTTTCACCAGCCACACTTCACGACAGCTAGAAGTTGCTCCTGACAAGCCTTGTTTCGAAGAAAAAACCTACCACTACTATTCATTGACGGACCTAGTGAAGATGGCATCGTTTAATTAAGACTGTGTGTCACCTGTATGCTCTCTGACTATTGTTGTTTGCGCTAGAAATCGCCTTCTGGTCGTTATGGACCTAATGAGCGGCGGTGAACTGTTTGATCGCATCAAGGCCAAGCGCTCCTTCACGGAGAGAGAAGCCAGCGAAGTGATGAATCAGGTAAGTGCTTCTTCAGCAGTCCTGCACTGGCCATGACGACTGCAGTGACCACTGTTGTGATCTCGAACTCGAGAGAGAGAGAGAGAGAGAGAGAGAGAGAGAGAGAGAGAGAGAGAGAGAGAGAGAGAGAGAGAGAGAGAGAGAGAGAGAGAGAGAGAGAGAGAGAGAGAGAGAGAGAGAGAGAGAGAGAGAGAGAGAGAGAGAGAGAGAGAGCTGGATGGAGAGCTGTTGGACAGCTGGATTGTGTATCAATAAGTGCACTGGGTGAGGCTAGGCAGTGTGTCAGACATCTATATGTAGGTCAGACTAGCACCAAATCGAGGACTACAAACTCGAACTCAGCGTATGGGGACACATTTGAACTCCGCGTACGCCGTACGGGAACTAATTCCCCTCAGTGAGGTAGAGACGACATGCACTGGCCCAGCCCTCGTAGACGTTTCTCAAATGACGTCATCATGTATGCTATGTATGGAGTGGCGAATGATTGCTTGTGGTGGCACTCTGCATAGAAGACATCAAATGTTGATTCGCATGCTCTCATGGTATCAATAGATTTCTGTGAGTTTGCATGGCCACTGCATGAATTTGAACCCAGCATCTAGTCAAGACACAGTCAAATCTGTCAAGGCGACCACTCGGATAAGGTGACAACCTGTCCCAGAAAACCACCCGAACCAGGACCAAGGGTGCTTTTTTCAGTATAAAAAAGACCCTGGATACGGAGACCGCCTGGTAACAGAGATCACCCTTTGAAGCTCCCTTGAGCGGTCGTCTTAGACAGGTTTGACTGTATTCAAGTTTGTGTTGTGCATGCAGAGCAGTGCCGTTGCTTTCCGGGTTGATGATCGGTGGAGTATCCTGGCTTCTACCCTCGCTTACTGTGCATGCATGACAATTAATAATGTGCTCACCGGAGGATGCCCCCCCCCCCCCCCCCTCCACCACCACCACCAGTGTGCTGACAGTGCTCAATGCCGCGGAGGTAGAGCGTAGTGCACAGGCCAATAGCATCCTCGTGTTACTGTAAAAGCCATTATTCTAACGAGGCGCATATATAACAATTTCCCAAAAGTGACTAGTTTACGTGCACCAAAGGTAACGATTCTCACTCATTCTCAACGCTCAATAGGACAGTATATGTATCGATTTCTGTATAACGATTTCTAATTTGACGACAGATTTCTCCTCGTTAACTCGTTAGAGTTAGCACTTCGTTATATATCTGGCTTTTACAGTACCTGATGGTTGCGTAACTGCATGAAACTCAGAGAACATGTAGCGACGAACTAGCCTTGCCCTTGTTGTTCTGTGTATTGATGTGTGCTCCGTGTGTCTGTGGACTGCATGTTGTTTGTGTGCTCTTCAGGTTGTATCGGCCGTGCGTCACCTGCACAGTCAGAACATCGCCCATCGTGACCTCAAGCCAGAGAACCTACTGCTGCGAGACAAGTCAGACGTACGTACGGTGTTGTGCTGTGTTGTGTTGTGTACTGTTGTGTACTGTAGAGTACGGTACTGGACAGAGAAACCCAGCCTCATGAATACAATAGCGTTGCCGGGCGCTACGCAGCCCTAGCACTGCACACTAACACACACACACACACACACACACACTACTACTACTACTGTAGCTTGGTTGCCACAAGGGCCACACCACTCCGAAAGGAGCCAGAGTCATTGTCAGGAGCAGAAACGGAGATGACGACTCAGGTCACTCTGTCGACGGAACTGACGGCTGCAGCGAGAACAGCGAACACCATACGGCGCTCTATCAGACTTGGTTGCTCGATGGCCACGGTCGCACTTGTGACGTCTGAAACCAGGCACTGACTTGAACTGCCGATTGCATGTCACACACAAGAGAGAAGCTGGGACGTTGAGCGGAATAGGTGATGCCGGCGCGGACGCTTCCGATGGTTCCAGGGGCAAACACACACACACACGCGCACACACACACACTGGTCTGTGCACTCGCTGGTATTGTTCCGCCATCCAACTGGCGCTACTTTATCCGTAGGGTTCAACCTCTCTGGCCAGAACTCTACATGCCTGTGGTCTGAATGTGAGGAATACAATGTTCAGTGCAACTGTAGCATACTCTCATTCCTAGGGCTATAACGTAACAAGCAAAGACATTCACATCGGCGGACCCCTGTACGCTATAGCCAATGTCAAACGACTAGAAAACACCACGCCTGTCCCACCGACCAGGCGAGTACTAAATTTATGTTAGATAATGACTGCATCAGGTAATGGCGAGGCATGTCAACACGCAAACAGGTAATTATATCAGCATGTGCATTGTATTTGATACTGTCAGCCACGGCCAGACATTCATAGCTCCTTGCTATCTGTGTTCCATAGGCTAGCCACTGAAAACGTTTTCGTTCTTTCCAATCTTCTGTCAATGTACCCCACTATATGTCTTGGGTTTCTTCAGACATTCATAGCTCCTTGTTATCTGTGTTCCATAGGCTAGCCATTGAAAACGTCTTCGTTCTTTCCAATCTTCTGTCAATATACCCCACTATATGGCTTGGGTGTCTTGGGTCGTAGCTATTGCTGCTGCTGCTGCTGCTGTTGCTGCTGTTGCTGCTGCTGCTGCTGTTGCTGCTGCTGCTACTGCTGCTGCTGCTACTACTGCTGTTGCTGCTGTTGCTGCTGCTGCTGCTGCTGCTGCTGTTACTGCTGCTGTTGCTGCTGTTGCTGCTGCTGTTGCTGCTGTTGCTGCTGCTGCTGTTGCTGCTGCTGCTGTTGCTGCTGCTGCTACTGCTACTGCTGTTGTTGCTGCTGCTGCTGTTGCTGTTCTGTATTAGTGTGTCTTTCATTCTATTTCTTGTGTTGTTGTTTCTGGTAATGCTTCTGTGAATTCAGAACATTCACATCGAACTGACTGACTTTGGGTTTGCCAAGATTGACAACGGTACCCTGCAGACCCCACAGTTCACGCCCTACTATGTAGCGCCTCAGGTAGGCACAGGCATGCTGCTGCTGTTGCTGCTGCTGCGTGTGTGTGTGTGTGTGTTTGTGTTTGTGTGTGTGTGTGTGTGTGTGTGCATGTGTGTGTGTGCATGTGTGCGTGCACGTGTGTGTGTGTGTGTGTGTGTGTGTGTGTGTGTGTGTGTGTGTGTGTGTGTGTGTGTGAAAAATAGGGATTCACTGGCCAGAAATAGTCACTTCAAACAGCTGTGTGGTGGATACCAGGCTAAAAATAGTGGCGGTCAATTCATCAGCCTTGCAAGCTGTTGAATGGTGTAATCCCAGCACAAGTTGCTATGTATAACATAGCTGTTCGCTATCATCGCTTCTGCGATGGGCATGTCTGAGGTCTGAGGTGTGTGTGTGTGTGTGTGTGTGTGTGTGTGTGTGTGTGTGTGTGTGTGTACGACCAGAATGTACAGATGTAGTCCAGTTGGCGCAATGGCGCCATTCTTCGCAATTTTGGAAACTCAGTCAGGATCAGCTCAGTGTTTGCGTGATTCGTTGGTAGAATAGCGGCGGTGGTGTGCGACCCAATGAAGTCACACCAGGCTTACCCGCCCTGTGCTCTCCTCGCTCTCCAATCTCTCACTGCAGAACTTGCAATCTGCATGTACATAATCACGTTACACCCTTCGAGATCCGTTGACAGTTCTCTCGCCTGTTGTCCAACCGTTTGTAAACGAGTCAGTTGCTACGGCTCAGGTTAAGATCGCCAACCTTCCGATCATGTTAGCATGGTGTGACATGGCCTCTAGGCTATCGAGGTCACCTTGCAGTTGGGGTAGGGTCCCGGTAATAGTTAGGAATGGAAGACCTAGGAGAATGGTTGCTCCCCACACTGGAGCTCCCGCTTTTCCGCCAACTTGACTTGGCACTTGACTGATTCACGATTGCCACCCTCCTGCTTACTTGAAACAATTCAAGGCACTTTAGAAGTGCTTAAAAGTGCACTTCCGGGCCAAAGGGCATTTCTGGGCTCACTTTTGTAATGTATTCACCCCGTCCCTTTGTTTCTCTCGTGTACATGTATTCCACGTCAGGTTCTAGAAGCTCAGCGGCGTCACCAGTCCCGGAAGCGCGGTGGTGAACCCAGTCCGTATACGTATGACAAGGTAGAGTGCCCTCTATTCCTAACACTTTGCCCAGTACAGGTAGTAGAGTTCTGGCCAGAGGAATCCAACCTCGTGAACACTGTAGTGCCATGCTCAAGTGCACAGAACAGTGTGCGTCGTGCTGGGGCTGTGTAGCACCCGGTGCTGGTATAGTCGTGAGGTGTGTGTGTAGTGCTGGGGCTGTGTAGCGCCCGGTGCTGTTATAGTCGTGAGGTGTGTGTGTAGTGCTGGGGCTGTGTAGCGCCCGGTGCTGTTATAGTCGTGAGGTTGGATTTCAATGGCCAGTACACTGTACTGTACCATAGCCAATGAGGTCAAGACGAGGCGTGGTTATTACTACTGGAGTTTGAAAAAAATTCAATTTTTACTTTTACTCCCGCTATGCTGTGGTCATCATTATGACTGTATGAGTGAAACTGACTTGTGCAGATTTCACCTGGAAATTATCCTAACCTTCAGTAGCCATCGCTTGACCTCCGCTGTCTTTGGCTTCCTGGAGACGTGTGCACTGGAATGCTAAGAACTTTAACTCAATTCCAATTATCACGATTCGAGTGCCCTTTTATGTGCTGTCGTGGGCATGGAAATCCGGTGGAATCACTCGGGGCCAGCACCCTCAGTACGCACAGAATGTTGCATGTAGTGCACGTATTGATTGCATGCGTACTGACGGCTGCATGGTCAGCGCCCTGGGCCGCTTGACCTCCGACCGGATTTCCATATCCAGGACAGTACAATACTGGAGCTGGCTCAGTGCTAGTGAAATGGGAAACCTCTAGCCATTTCCTTCCCACTCCGTGTGGAGTGTTTCTAAGCGTTCAGCATTGCTTCGTGGTGTGATGATCAAGAGGCCAGCTGGATGCCACAACCACTGCACACATACCAGAGAGAAAGAGAAGCTGTGTCACACCCCACGGTTTCACTTGAATTCACGATCGTATGGCACATGCTTACTGGTGTGTCTGTGTGTGTGCACATACATACATGTGTTTGTGCTTTGTGTGTGTGTGTGCATGCGCGAGTGTGTGTTTGTGGATGGGTGTGTGTGTGCGTGTACGTGTGTGTGTGTGTGTGTGTGTGTGTTGTGTGTGCGCGTTGTGTGTGTGTGTGTATGGGTGTGTGTGTCCGTGCGTGTGTGCACGTGTGTCGTGCATGCGCTTGTACTCCCTGTGTACTGCACACATGTACACAGAGCTGTGACATCTGGAGTCTGGGCGTGATCATGTACATCATGCTGTGTGGCTATCCACCGTTCTACTCCGAGTCGCCAACCAAGTCCATCACATCGCGTATGAAGCATCGCATCACCGCAGGCCAGTACGAGTTCCCGACGCGCGAGTGGGAGCACGTTTCGGATTCTGCCAAGGAGTTGATTCGCATGTGAGTTCAAGATAAATACCTGCACAACTATAAACAGTCTTGTCTCCTCACTCTAGTATGAGTAAGCTCTGGTAGCTTAGAGCAATCTTCAGTCAGTGAAGTGCTTCATGGGACGTATGCTACCCTTCTCAGTGAGAAGGCAGAAATTGCCTTTGACCTTATGTGTGCGTGTGTGTGTGCGGGGGGGGGGGGATGCACGTATGTGTAGTGATGAGAGGGAGGGGGGGGGGGGGGGGGGGGTAATGTGTACGCATCACGAAGTCGTAGCCTGGGGGGGGGGGGGGGGGGGGAGACACACGTCACTGGAACGTGAAACGATGCGGGTTTTGCTCTTGGGCTGCTCGTTCCAACCACCCTTGAGGCAGGGATGGTTTATGCACGCTGGCTTATGACCTACTCTGGTCTTGATGTCGGCAGATTATGGCCGTGATCACCAGTTCAGTTAGTCACGGATATGAAGGGAGGGAGGGAGAGGGAAGGAGAGAGAGAGAGAGAGACGCTTCATGTTCCTAGATGGCGCCCAGCGAGTGTCCTAGCCATTGTCGCTTTCTTCTGCATCACTGTCGCTGTCACTGTGTTCCTCACCTAACTCACCACCGTCCTCCTCCACCACATCGTCTGACGTCATCAGTGTCACTATCCCAGTCATCACCGCTGCCCTTGTCGCCCTGCTCCTCACGCTCACGCTCACCCGTTTTGTCTCTGTCAACAGTTTGGCCTCCTTCATTCGTGAAGATCGCATCATCTTCCGTGCCATCTACCGCACTTGCGATGCTCCATTCCAAAAGGCAGCCTTTACTGATTCAGGCTTGACATCATTCGAGGCATCATTGACCCACTGCAAAGGAACATCAATCGTCGCTGCATGCTGGCGGACAGTGGTGGTGAACAGGTGCTAACCGGTCTCCATCCACGTCGACCAGTGAGCCGTGATGCCTTGCTTGAACAGTTTCTTCAGGCACTCATCAAGCGACTGAGAAACACTATTGAGGCCTCCGGGGATGATGGCAATCTCGGCTTTGCTTGTGTTGAGCCGATGTTTCACCTGCCGGTCCTTGTGGGCGGCAAAGTAATCCATAACGAGCAGGCTTGGAGGTTTCAGCAAGGCACCTGGACGACATTGCCACACAGGCTTGGAGGTTTCAGCAAGGCACCTGGGCGACATTGCCACACAGGCTTGGAGGTTTTAGCAAGGCACCTGGGCGACATTGCCACACAGGCTTGGAGGTTTCAGCAAGGCACCTGGGCGACATTGCCACACAGGCTTGGAGGTTTCAGCAAGGCACCTGGGCGACATTGCCACACTGGCTTGGAGGTTTCAGCAAGGCACCTGGGCGACATTGCCACACTGGCTTGGAGGTTTCAGCAAGGCACCTGGGTGACATTGCCACACTGGCTTGGAGGTTTCAGCAAGGCACCTGGGCGACATTGCCACACTGGCTTGGAGGTTTCAGCAAGGCACCTGGGCGACATTGCCACACAGGCTTGGAGGTTTCAGCAAGGCACCTGGGCGACATTGCCACACTCATACACTGACTTGACCCAGTCATGCACCCAGTCATGCATGCCATCTTGATCCATCCATCCCCTGGAGTGGACTTCCAACGAAACACCACTATGTCCAACACATTTAGGAGTGCTTTTCCTCTTCAGAATTACAACAGGAGGCAACTTGTCGCCATCAGCAGTGCAAGCCATGCCAGCAGTAAAGTGCGACTTTTCGGGTTCTGTAGTTCACGCCAACACCGATCTCCCGCCTCTTTGATTGACAGTTCACTTTGTGTGCATGTCGAAGTTGACGGGAAAATCACCCATATTCCCAATTTGTGCCGTAGCAATGTCGTTCGGTTTGTGAGAGTGGCAGTGAAGGATGAAGTGTTGGAACTTGTAACCTATTCCGCCAAGTCATCAGGGAGTCTTTGCGTCAGCGTTGTCCTCTCGCACATTGCCAGGCGATGCGCGTCATAAATCGAAAACGCCGGTGCACTCTGATTTTGGTGGTGGGCGGGTACAGCGTGCCTGGCATCTTGTCCTAACTAGCACTTTCACCTTCCTCCATCGTGGACACAGTGATGCCTGCAGGCCTCCCCGATCGCCGACCCACAGAACAAGTTCCTGCTCCAGAGCAGGGAGCAACTCTTCATCGCCGCTGTTACTTTTTTTATTTTCGACTTCAGGACCTTATCCCACTTTCCGCTGGACTTTGCCTTCCGCCATCAGCTTTTCAGAAACACCAAACTGAGCACAGCAGCTGCACAATTGCTTGATTCCTCAGCTACGGAGACGGCTTCTCTTTCGTTAAAGGGAGTGTAAGAGATTCAACGAGGAGGCATCTTGAAAAAAAGAAAACTATCACACTGGCGCCGGAAGGTGTTGTTGTGTTGTCAAGAAGAACCCTTTATTTCTCATCAACATCCGTGTATAAAGAAGCACATAAAAGGTGTATGCGTGCGTGCATAGTGAGGGCACGTGCGTACGGGATACGTGCAGAGTGCAGACTACTGTACTACTACAACATCTCCCCCCTCACGGGCCGGGTTAGGCACAGAAGGGATAAGGAAGACAGAATGCTGTGTGAAAAGAAAACACGAGCAGGTTGCATGCAGCACAGCCAGAGGAAGGGTAGGTGGGAAGGCGAAAAAAATTTGTACGGCCATGAAAAGGCGGGAGTTCCCAGTGCCCCCCCCCCCCCCCCCCCGATTTTTTTAGGGAAATTGGACCCGAATAACCCATATTTCATTGCTTCAAAAATCACAGGAGAATATTATAGGCCTTTGGTCGCACCTGCCGCACCGGTTCTGACGCCCCTGTATAAAGAGGAAATGAAACCGACTCGAGAGAGCAAAGTGCGACAAACGAGGACGAGCCGAATGCAAGAACTCAAGAGTCGACGTTCGAAACACGAAATACAAAGTCTAGAGGAGTGCTGGCGCATGCAGCTGAGTGTTAAGTGTCAATGCCAGTGTGCGTTCACATGGTGTACTCACACATTCTCTACAGGCCATATTTGGAAGCTTCCGATGGTTCCCGGTTAGAAGTCAGATCCCAGTTGTAAGGCGACCACCACTCTTCTCGTTCGATTTTCAGATGTGAAAGGTCGACTTGTAATGTAAAACCGGAATATTTCTGTGGAGATTTATTTTCGGTAACTTCGGAACAGGTAATTTTTTACCTAAAATAAAATGCAACCTAAAATTCAACATTGCCATGCCACGCAGTGTGCAAAATGCATTTTTTGGATCTGTAAAACTGGTTTGCCGAAATTTTCGCGCTACCGAACCGTTGATTTTGGGAAATACCGAAAATTCCCGGTTTTGGAGTAACCGGAAAATGGCGGTAGTCATTGTATGTATCTGTGCATTTTCTGCTTCCATCTCATCTACTGCACCCCCCCCCCCCCCCCTTTCTCTCTCTCGCAGGTGTTTGTATGTGGATGTTGAGCGGCGGATCGATATTGAGGAGATGTCCAGGCATCCGTGGTTGCGAGATTCTGGGAGCGTACCACATGTGGAACTCTGCTCGCCCTCAGTTATGCTGGAAGATGAGGTGAGAAAGTCGGTAACACCGTCTTATCACCTCAAGAGATGATAACAAATTAAAAATTCTAAAATATGTGAACGTTTGTGGCTTCCGTGAGTCTCAATCTGACTGAGTTTTCCACATCCGTATCTCGTTATATCTCTAGAACAAAGCCATTGTTTTATATTGTCTAAACACATAATAGGAAATTTAGTACTAGTTGGCACACTCTCTGTGGCAAACAAAAGCAAGTACTTCGAAAGAAGTAGTGGATATGATGAATTATTATCATGGTGTCTGTACATGTGTGTATTTGTGTGTCTGTGTCTGTGCCTGTGGCTGTGTGTGTGTGTGTATGTATGTGTGTGTGTGTGTGTGTCGGTGTATCTGTGTATCTGTGTGTGTGTGTGTGTGTTTGCGCGCGCATGTGTATCTGTGTGTGTGTCTGTGTCCTTGCGTGAATTTGTATCCATGCGCTTGTTTCCGTGTCCTCCTCCTAACCACCACCACCGCTGCGTGTCCCTTTCGCCACATCTCACGCTCCTCACCACAATAACCACCACCACTATGCGGGAGGATAGGAGGGCTTGTACAGCGCGCGTGCCGCACACAGTGCTCAGCTCACGGAGATGAGGATCGACGCTAACAAGACGACGCTGAAACCCATCGGCGAAGCCAAGAACCGGCTCATCATGAAAAGGTAAAGCTTCAGTACATGTACTACCTGTTTTCGATTTCGACAGCATGTTACAAGGCGAGGACGCACAGTGTTCCTGACTACAACCATAACCCGGTTGCCAGAGTCCCGGTCTTGCGACCATTACATTTTGAACCGTGTGGGGAAAAATGTACTTCCCGTGTACGTGCGTGTGTGTTTTCTACCTGTCCTTCCTATAGCCCTGCCTTTGGCTGAATGCTATTATGTCAGGGGGGGGGGGGGGGGGATTTGTAGTATCTCTAAATCGGCTAAACATTCTGTGTGTCGGTGTGTGTGTGTCTGGATGTGTATAATGTCTGTACATGCTGTGTGCATCCATGCATCGTGTATGCAGGGACAGAACGGCTCGTGACGAGAGCCCGCATCAGGTGAACTTAAGAGCTCTGCGCGATCTTCTGGCGTACCTGACGATGCCTCCACCGCAGTCATCACCAAGTGAGTACACACTTGTAGTTCTGAATCTGAAAGTCCAGCGCCTACATCATCGCTGAGGCAACACCTTTCGTGATACGGTTCCTATGCTTCACCCTACCTGGCTGCAGCCAGACGAAACTCTCTTCCACCTGAATGTCGCCAGACAGTTTCTTTGCAGCATTTATTAGCATCTTACCTGATCACGTAGAGTACCCCCCCCCCCCCCCCCCTAAACACGACATTACAACCATGGCCATTCAATGTCTACGGACCCTGAAGTTTCATTTTTGGGGAATTTCCCCAAATTTTGGTTTTTGATACATGACTCAGTGTGATTCCGTGTGGATTCCTCCTCATTGCCACCGTGTTCTGTATTTTAACCTGTCGGTGTATTTGACTTCTGTACTCTCTATCTCTCTCTCTCTCTCTCTCTCTCTCTCTCTCTCTCTCTCTCTCTCTCTCTCTCTCTCTCTCTCTCTCTCTCTCTCTCTCTCTCTCTCTCTCCTCCACGCGCGTGTCCTCAGTCGGCTCCTTCCACTTGTGTGTGGTGGGTATCATTCAAAACATGTTATCCCAGTCTGAACCACCAGGCAAGAAGTTTGATGACATGCTTGGCAAACACGGATGGAATGGTACGGAACTGCTTATTGTCTTTCTGTGTCTCTCTCTTCTGTGTGTGTGTGTGTGTGTGTGTGTGTGTGTGTGTGTGTGTGTGTGTGTGTGTGTGTGTCTGTTTGTGTGTGTGTGTGTCTGTTTGTGTGTGTGTGTGTGTGCGTGTGTGTCTGTGTGTGTTTTTGTCTCTCTGCCTCTCTCTCTCTCTCTCTCTCACACACACACACACACACACACACACACACACACACACACACACACACACACACACACACACACACACACACACGAGCGAGTGTGCACGAACATGCACACACACACACACACACACACACACAAACACACACAAACACACACACACACACACACACACACACACACACACACATGAGCGAGTGTGCACGAACATGCACACACACACACACACACACACACACACACACACACACACACACACACACACACACACACACACACACACACACAGTCATTCAAGGCAGTGCTTTGGTTAGGCTGGGACTCACGTTGGGGAAATGGTTTGACTTCCACCCCAGCAAGCGCTTAGTCGGACAGATATGGAAGGGGTCGATCACAAGTCTAGTTGCCAACCATTCTTCATGGTAATACAGTCAATCACGCGAACAATGACTTTGGGCCTAACAGCAACTCATGTCTGGTAGAAATACAGCTGAGCTGGGAACAGAAGCCGAATGGTATAATTGTGGTGTGTGTGTGTGTGTACGTACGTACGTACATATGTGTGTGTGTATGCGTGTGTGTATGCGTGTATGTGTGTGTGTGTGTGTGTGTGTGTGTGTGTGTGTGTGTGTGTGTGTGTGCTGTCTTCTTGCACAGGTAATGGGTTTGATAGTCTTCTTGATTGCGCCGCTCTGTCCCGTGACCTGATGCACCTGATTCAATCAATGACCGAAATCAGGGCATAGTTTCTCTACGAAAGTAATCTTCACTAATAATTATAATCCCACTCCCCCAGCGTGATTTAGAAAGCACATCATGAAATATCGTCAACAGACGATTCCTCCATTGAATTTTCTTTCATTCGACATTTGAAGTTATTCTTTGCAGACTTTCCGGCCGGACGCACACACGACCGCTTGGCTAATATCCGCCAGGAGGCGTTTGACGGCTTTCTCTTTTCTTTGAATATCTTCAACATTTTTTTTATTGAGCTTGCAGCCTACGTGCCTGCTTGCACGTACCTAAGAATGTGCATGCGTCCTGCACACTGGTATTGGGCTGGTGCTTCTTTATAGTTTACCGACTGCAAGTTCTCCCCGCGCTTTCCCGACCGTGCAGACATCCGTCGTCGCCGTGGGGCTGTCTGCCCTATGGTGCTGCAGAGTTGGATGTTGACGTAACCTGCACAGTTTTCTGTAAACACGCCCTGAGGTGCTATTCTGCGGTGTAGGCATGTTAGGCGTTGTTTGCAGTGTAGACATAATAGGCGTTGTTCTGGAGTGTAGTACCGGTGTATGTTGTAGACGCCGGTAGCCTCGTTTGTTTGAGCCCGTTCGTGTCTATTTTTACTAGGGGCATTTGCCCCCCTGCGCCCGTTCTTACATTATCGCATCTATCTTTCTTTACTCCTAGGTCTGTTTCCACGATGACTGTGCTGCATGCTTGCAGGTCTTTGAACAAAGTTTTTATGATGAGTTTGAACTGGTTTCTCCCAATACGTTTCTTTTCATGCGTTTTGTTAGGAGGTTCTGGCAGGCCAGAAGTTTTTTTTTCTCTTGTTGTTTTTCGATAGTCCGGTGCCGCGCCTATCACCAATGAGTGATGTTACATGCGGTGGGTAGCTTGGGTCTTTCGGTTTCCACGTGGCGTGGACAAGGTCCTAGCCGCTATCTTTTTCAGTCTCTGTTTTTACCTCTCCGCCGTCTTCTTCCTTTTTCTAAGTTGCATTTCTATGTCTTGATCGGATGTGCCCTTCAATCGTCACCTTGGCCTGATAGTAGGCGTTTTGGTTTCGTTTCTTGCAAATTTGATCATGCCTGTGATGTTTTGTCCGCTTTGGCATGTTCGTGCATGTTTGTGCACGTGGTGGTGTGTGTGTGGGGGAGGGGTGCATGCGTTTGTGTATGTTTGCTCTTGGGTATGGCTTGTTGAGTGCACTTATGCCGCATCGTGACTGGTTGTGTTTGTCGCCATTGGCATTGGGCTGGGCTGCTTGAAAGTGTATTCTTGTAGAGTCCACGTACCACCATCGTTTCCTTCGCTTCAGTGTCCACTGTGTGATTTCTCTTTGAAGCACGGACGGCGCATGCATACGCAAAGGACCTGTGCTGGTGCATGTGGTGCTTTATGCTTTTCACAATCCTGCATGAAACTACTTCGAGCTACAGCACCGTAGTCTTGCACCAGGCAATGGGCTACTTCTGGCTCTAATCAGGTAATCTTGATAGTGAAGCTAGCGTACTACCAACATTAATTATTCACAATGACATTGTGATAAATTTTAGCAACTACTTCCTGCTATAAGCCTAAGGCCTAGCCCCTAGCTAAGCACAACATGCTGTAGTGATTTCGCTTAGGTTGAGCCCATAACTAACAAACTAACTGTTACTTCCATAAAGCGCTAGCGGGATGATTTCCGAGGCTTGTGGCTCAATGTAGCTGAACCATCGGACCTTATTTGTCAGCTTGGATCACGTGATCCATCCAGCTGCCGCGTGCGGCAAACAGCCCAAATAGCGCTAACTCTGGCCTGCGAGCGTTTACTGCGACTAGCGCGCTAGCGCTCGTGACATACACAAACGCGCTAGCCAGAATGCTTTGACTTTGATGGCTTTCAGCTTCTATTTTTTGAAAAGTAGCGCGCTCACACCAGCTCGCTCACTCTTTTCCTCTTCCATTTTTTAGGGCAATTCTTATTGTTTTGTTTGATAGACGAAGCTTAGGGTCTCTTTGGGTTTGCAACCCTTACCCTCCTGGAAAAAATCATAGTTGCTAGACTGCGACACTTCAGACCAGGTACTATTAGAGCCGCTAATGGACGACGAGCTATTTTCCGCTATCCGGAGCTCAAGCATTTGAGCCGCTAAATGGACGAGACTCCTGGGGTAAAGGATGCAGAGAATGAGGAGAAAACACTCGTATGGAGCAGGGAGTAGGTATTGTACTACTTCCTGGTATGGAGCACTGAGAAGCGGTAAGTCCTAGGGCAATTCTTAGCCAGTAATTACTTTCTCGCCATAATTATGTTCTCGTTTTTCGTGTCTTCTGTAATGCCAGTACAGTGAGTACACTAGCAGTACGACTACACTAGCAGTACGACTACACTGTAGGCGAGAGTCCATAAGCCAGAGTGTGCAGCTCTCCATCTATGCAGCATAAACAAATTAATGACAAATTTCCTTTGCCTAAGGGCTGGGTTCCACTGCCGCTCCGCCGCACATCATCCACGGCATGAAACGTCATCATTACGAGCTGGTCCAGCGAGGCCGCGGCTCATCACCAGCTTTCGCTTCGCTGCTTGATACAAAAAAATGCAAGCCGCGGTCACGGCTTGTATTGTTTCCCGCACTTAATTGTTTTATTCGGGGGAATTTTAGTTCGTTGCACAGGCCAGAACACGAGGATTTTTTTGGATTTCACGCGCGCGCAGGCAGGCTAAATGTCATCAAAAAACGTCGAGCACGATCGCGATACCGTGAATGGCGAGTGTCACTGGAACCGCGCCGCTCTGCTGCATGCAGCCAAGTACCGTGGAGCAGTGGAGCTGCGGAGCCGCAGTGGAACCCGGCCCTAACCAAACTTATAGCAATTTGAAAATGTTTGACAATTTTTCATAAAAAACTTGACAACATTGTTCTTCTGTAGAGTGCTGGCAACTCCATCGATGAACTCCATCAACGAGCGCAGGGATAAAGTTTAGAAACCCTTCGAGCGAGAGCGTGTTTTCAAAAAGGAAGCACAAATATGCCGCGTAACTTCCCCTGTAGTATGGCCCCATCAAAGCCACTCGCTGACTACTTACCAGTAAACTGGGGTTTGACGGTTGTCAGATTAGCTGATATGTTTTCTGCCAACACAACCATAAGCAGTTGTCAACTCTCAAGACTAAAAGAGCTTGCGAAGAAAGTGAGAAACCTTGGCTATGAAAGCACATGAAGCGTCAGAACATAATCGAGCAAACTTGGACCTAGATTACCAGTGTCTGCTCCAGAGCCAGGTCAGTGGCCCTGTTTGTGAGTACTTGGACCTTTTGGAAAAAGAACACTGGGTTACCTGCGACCCGGTTGGAAGTCCTGTCGAGTACTATACTTTTTTATACTTCGAGGATATACCGCCACTGACAGGCTGCATATGCTTGCAGATGCGTGCGGCCAGAGTGCCCAGTGCGAGTACGTTCATACATGTACATGTACAATCATGTACATCAGGAAGTCGAAAGTAAGTTTACGACTCCCTGACACACAGTAGCCGCACTTGAACGCATCTGGCCCTGGCCCAGTGTTGCAGGAGTTGTGCCAGGTAGACGTGTACCCGGTTTGTGTTAAATCTTAGAGCAGGTACTGCATACCCTATCATATCTGTGTACATGGGTATACAGAGTCAGTGTTGTTGCGTCCCACTCAGCACCCTTCTGGTTCATTTCGGCACCAGCACTCTTTGCGTATGCAGAGCTGAGTAGAGTGCAAGTTCGGACCACAAGTACACTGTAGCAGCTAGTTGCGAACCTAACCTGTGCCGTGATGCACGGCACTTGTGTGCATCTACTTTATCCCTGAGTAACCCACCAGGTATATGGTGCACAATAGGGCACAGTAAATAATCAGCATGCATCGCAGTTTTCTGCAACATACATGTATTCCTGAAGTCACTTTACACCTCAGAAGAATTGCGTCGCTAACTGTTAGTTATTCCCTAGGTCATTATGAATCGTAGAAAACCCGTCATACAATAGGTTCAAGCTAAAGTACCGTATCACCATGGTAATTACCTGGAAATTCGGTGTGTTTTCTACGTTTTTGTTAAACAAGCAGCAATGTGCCACAGGAATTACCATGGTGATAGAGTAGATGACCGTGTGAAGCGGTGTGAGATGCAGCAAAGGTGAGCCTGTTACTGCGAGTCTATGCCCTAAACAATAAACTTTGCCGTGGGATGATTCTCTTTGGGCTGCACACTCTGGTTAATGTACTCTTGGTGGCAGCATTCTGGTGCCAAAGATGATATTTTTTCAGAAAAATAAGCACTAGAGAAATGGAGTGGGAGTAACCTGAATTATTCTATTAGCAGAGCTGCAATGCTTGGGATATGAGATTATTCCCGTAGCTATGCAAAAGACGCTATTCAGTTGTACTTTAGTAGCATCTGGCGCTAGCCAGTATCCACACCGCTGTAATTCGGTGCGTGTCACGGTGCCTGGTAGGGTGGTTCACGTGGCATGCCATGGTTGGTGCAGTATCCCGTATGTGTCCCGTACCGTAATTCGAGTATGCGGTGCGCACCGTAGCATAGATGTATCTGGAGCGCTGTGCGAGCTAAGATGTCGGGGCAAATATGGGGACATTCACAACATGCAATGTGAATATGCACGTCAGTTTTGTTTTAAGAAGTGGGTTTGACGGAGTAAGAAAAGGCCCCAGCTTTGGCTGCTGCATGCTAGCCCAGTGGGTACCAATCTCCTGCCATCGGCCGAGTGCTGATGGAACGGAGTAGAAGAAAAAGAAAGAAGAATATTGCGTTCAAGAATACAATTTCGGTAAGGGATATACAGTAAAACCTGTAACTAAAGACCACCGTCACTAGCGACCAGCCTGGTCCTACCAGCCACTTCGCCAGGCACGGAAGGTCTCACATTCAAAATGCACTGTGGCTAGCAACTACCTTCTGAACGCGACCAGCGACCGCCTTTTCCTGTCCCAAACACAATTTTTGACCCGTAACTAGCGACCGCGATGTAGGAAATCAAATGTTGCTCGAAGCTCCTTCTTGAAATTTTACTGATTTTCCATGGTCCTGAAAAGAATATTTCGATACTACAGCTGAACAAATGAATGCAGGTAATTTGGGCTGTGGAGTCGGTGTGGACTGCACTACACCTGGCAAAATTTCAAGCGCTGTCAAGAAAAAAACATGATAGGAAACATCTTGGAGAGCGCATCGAAACCGCTCTCTGATCGATGTTACTACTCGGAGGAGAAACGAAGACTGGGCAGCTCTGTCACCCCAGTCATACAGACGGATCGACGATGGCATCAAGGAATCCAGAAACAAAGCAGCACCACAAGGTCCTGATGCTCAAGCAATCGAGAAGTCACAACAAGGACGGTCGGTATGATTGATCGCATGAACAAATTTGAAGCCCAGCGCGAAACGAAACTTCCCCAGGGAACGTTTGACTCCTGGCTTCAGAAGTAGCAGCTGAATTTGAAGTCTGCAAAAAAGTAATCTTCTCTCCCTCTCTCTCTCTCTCTCTCTCTCTCTCTCCATCTCTCCGTCTTTCTGACATTGCGCAAGTCCTGGGGAATTGTATTAGCTGCATTTTGACATACATATCATATAATGGGATCCACATATGGTCACGCGGTGCAAACCTCTAACTAAAGACCACCTGCTACTAAAGACCGCTTTTGCTGGCACCAAGGGGTGGTCGGTAGTCACAGGTTTTACTGTACCGGTAAGTGGATAGCTAACTAAAATAATTAGCCGTATGGTTTAGAAATAGTGGTGGCGACTCTGGATGGCAGTCGTGAGTCCGTCAAGTGTCAAGTCGACGGACTAGCGCGAGCTCCAGTGTGGGGAGCAAACCCATTCCTAGGTTAGCATCCCCCCACCTCACAACAGAGCAACCGAGTTTTGGATTAAGCTGGGAATGCCGATTCGAGCAACTGGCATGATGGCTCTGCTTGGAGCCACTAGATGGCTCGCAGCTGAGCCGGCAAATGACTCCGCTTGGAGCCGTCAAATGACTCCGCATGGAGCCACCGAATGACTTCGCATGGAGCTGCCGAATGACTCTGCATGGAGCCGCCGAATGACCCCGCATGGAGCCGCCGAATGACCTCGCATGGAGCCGCAAATTGACTCCGCATGGAGCCGCCAATGACTCCGCTTGGAACCGCCAATGACTCCGCATGGGGCCGCCAATGACTCCGCATGGAGCCGCCAATGACTCTGAGTAGAGCCTCCAAGTGCTAAATATATTGGTATTCATAACCAATTGAGAGCATATATTCCATAAATCGGCACTCCCGGAGCGGATCACAAAGTGCAGCTACCCCTGCAATCTGTAAGCGGTGCAAGCTAGGTAAAGACTGTCAGAACTTGATATCATGGGCTGAGGCCATTGCCGCAGCCACCCATACTTTGGCTGCAGGTGGCGTCCGAATGTTACTCGGGCAGACATCGCTTTCCACCTTCCCGCCTCTCTGAATATCGAGTCCCGCAGCTGATTCGAAACGAGTGGCCGGTGTACAACGCCAGGCCAAAGCCACAACTGATGAGCAATATCCTCGCAGTTGCTGTAAATGCCCATCGATTGGCATTCGCAGCTGATGCCGCTAGTTTTCCCAGGTGCTGCGGGCTGCCACAATTGTAAACAACCCTTTGCGATTGCTGCTCTGCTTGATTGACTGTCCATTGCCCTATCCCCGGTCGCAATTGTACGAGCACCGGCCAAGTGCACCACTTGCATCAGTGAATACCAGCAAGTCGGGGGACGGCGTCCATTTAGGGTGTAGGAAGAAGGACCGGCCGTTCCGCTAATCCAGGAGCTCAGGCCATCAGCGAAGATCTTTGAGGCACTCTTTGGAGAGCTTGATCAGGTAACACGGCTGCCGGTACCAGTTGGCAACTGACCACAATCTGCAATTTGCATCCAGGGGCTATCACTCTTGTAGCAAACGGGAGCTTTCCCAGAAGAGACTCGAGTTGACATTGGGTAGTTGAAGCTGTGTGAAGAGTGGCCCGAAGGAGATCACGAAGCTCGGCAAGTTCGTCCATAGGCATACTGATGTTAGCGCGGCGGGTGTCCAGGATGACGCCGATAAACATTAGGACGTGGGCTGGACCCTCCACTTTTGCTGACGCCAGAGAAAACACCGAGGTATGTAAACGCGCGGCGCCGAGTAGCGAGTTGCTGGCGAGCTAACACAGGTCCAGAGCCTGCATTGAGGAAGCACTTTTACTGACGCCAGAGAAACACCGAGGTATGTAAACGCGCGGCGCCGGGTAGCGAGTTGCTGGCGAGCTAACACAAGTTCAGAGCATGCATGGAGACAGAAACGTTAGTCGAGGTACTCCCCGTAATGGGATGATGCCAATAACGTCAGGACTTGAGCTGGACCCTCCACTTTTGCTGGGGCCAGAGAAACATCGAAGTATGTAAACGCTCGGAGCAGAATAGCGAATTGCTGGCAAGCTAACACAAGTCCAGAGCATGCACTGAGGAAGTAACGTTAGTTTAGGTATTCCCCGTAATGCAACAGGCGTGTGAGTGCGAACTGCTAGCACATAATCCATTCACTGGCGGATGCGACAGAGTTCCATATAGCTGGACTGGAGCGTAATACGGTCTGAAGGGCAGGGCACTCTCATAAAAGTATTGATCCTGCCAGCGGATCAACAAGGACCAATCCTCCGGGCGGACGGGAATTCGGCAGAATTCGGCAGTGAGCATGCACGTCAGTTTCGTTTTAAGAAGGGGGTTTAGCGGAGTAAGAAAAGGCCCCAGCTTTGGCTGCTGCATGCTAGCCCAGTGGATGCCAATCTCCTGCCATCGGCCGGGTGCTGATGGAATGGAGTAGAAGAAAAAGAAAGAAGAATATTGCGTTAAAGAATACAATTTCGGTAAAGGATATACCGGTAAGTGGATAGCTAACTAAAATAATTAGCGGTATGGTTTAGAAAGAATGGTTGCGACTCTGGATGGCAGTCGTGAGTCCGTCAAGCGTCAAGTCGGCGGAATAGCGCGAGCTCCAGTGTGGGGAGCAAACCCATTCCTAGGTATGGTTTAGATCGCATTATTGTAATGGCCGCGGTTTGATTTCAAAAGACCATAGAAAGTGACGTGCTATCGTTCGAAAGTTTAGGGGTGTGGTACTGATGGGCCAGGAATGTACGGATCGGGTGGATTGTAGTGTTTTGATGGGCGTAGTTTTTGTATAAATAGAATGCTGAGATCATTAGAAGAGGACTATGAGGAAGAGCAAAATGACAGGGGTGACAGTGTTGAAGCTCTGAGCAGACGGCGTCGGCAGTAGTGCCTACACAGAGAGTAGAAGAAGGGAGAAGAAAGGTCCCGCCGCCTCGAGAGTCGCCGTGCTTGCGAAAGGCTATGCCAACAGCAAGAAACGACGGAGCAAATATCCCGTCGTTTGGAGACTCACCGCCTTCGTGACAAGACGCGTTGACAGCTAGAGACCGCTGCACAGGCATCCATTCAGCAGGAGGAAATACATGCTCTCATGCTCGAACTTGTTCGGTGTGCGGGGCCATCATCATGTTACGCACCAGCCTGGCCCTATTCCGTTGATGTTCCGTACCATTCTGGCAAAGACTGCTGGCCACATGTTGAAACAGGGCTTGAAAAAAATGAAATAAGCTAGTACCAAAGCGTAATCTATTATTATATTTACTTTTACTTGGTAGAATGTACCTGTCTGAGAGTTTGAGTTTTGAGTTATGTATCGATGTGCGTTTATGAACCAAAGTTTTGATTGTCATCCACATGTTTTTGTATTGCAAAGACGTTTCTATCAGTTCGAACAACACACATGATGACCTAGGCAAATATTAAGCATAGCGAGGGCTCCTGGGCGGTCAAGCCCTCTCTAGCCTTCAAGCCCAAGCGCTCTTTATTTGTGCGATATCGAAATGAAAAACTAAATGCAATAACAACGATGAACAATAATAATATTATTTATTTCAGCCAAGTACAAGTGGAGTGGGGTCTATTGGTATCCTTTATTTCAGCCGAATAAAACTGTTGTTTATTGCTATCGCATAATGCATGATAACCTAGGCAAAAAAGATAGTGAGGGCCCTGAGCTTTCAACTGAGCTCTCTCGTTGGAATTATTAATATGGAGGTGTATGTGCCAATTTTTCACGTAGGATTGCCTGCCACTTGCAGCACTGCATTGCCTTCTGCAACATGGGGAAAGCTGCGTGCTCAGGCCCGTAGCAGCTCCATTCTGGTTGGTCCAGCGGGACCTGACTTCCACAACTTTGCGTGCTTTTCTTGTGACGGGCATATACATGGTACAAAGTATGTGTGTATGTGTGTGTGTGTGTGTGTCTGTGTGTGTGTGTGTGTGTGTGTGTGTGTGTGTGTGTGTTGGCGGTCCTCTGGACAGCTTGGTGACATCGTCCAAGATCGACAGGGATGGCGGGTCACCTGCCGTGACGCTGTCGACGCTATTGTACAGTCCCGCATGGAGCCTGTGGCCACATAGCCAGTCATGGCAGTGGAAGAAGGAAGGAAGGAAGGAAGGTGTGTGTATGTGTGTGTGTGTGTGTGTGTGTGTGTGTGTGTGTGTGTGTGTGCGTGTGTGTGTGTGTGTGTGTGTATGTGTGTGTGTGTGTGCATGTGTGTGTGTGTGTGTGTGTGTGTGTGTGTGTGTGTGTGTGTGTGTGTGTGTGTGTGTGTGTGTGTGTGTGTGCGTGTGCCCCCCCCCCCCCACCCCAACCAAGTTCATGGTTTCTGGCCCCAACATCTCTAACGACGATCTAGAGCCGCTCGAGACACGAACCATGGAGATTGCCCATGTGTCGTCTTTTCGTTACCTTGGATCCAACATACACAGCAACGGCCGATGTCATGATGATGTCACATCCCGGATCTCTGTCTTTTCTCCTTCTGTCTGCCTGTCTGTCTGTCTGTCTGTGTGTGTGTGTGTGTGTGTGTGTGTCTCTCTCTCTCTCTCTCTCTCTCTCTCTCTCTCTCTCTCTCTCTCTCTCTCTCTCTCTCTCTCTCTCTCTCTCTCTCTCTCTCTCTCTCTCTCTCTCTCTCTCTCTCTCTCTCTCTCTCTCGTAGGTCTACCCTTGTTAGGAGACAACCCTGGGGGTATCAACTTTTTTTGTCTGATAACGAGTACATTTTTCTGCTGCTTTGCATCATCCAAATTGTGTCCACATCAGAACTGATGGTTCCTTGTTATTAGACAGTGTTTTCCACCAGACCCCTGTACAAGACAACCCATTATCAGACAATGTTTCATCGGACCCCGATACAAGACAGCATGAAATATCAATCGAGCTATCCTCGGCCATCCGCTTTTTCTTGTAATGAGAATTCAAACCTGTGGGACAGCTGAAGGGGACGTTATAACGAATTTGGTCTACAAACGAATAATCTCTTATCCGGACTTGCATGTACGACTGCTAATGATTCATGGGATTTTGGATCGTTGTCTACTAATGAGGTTTGTCTTGCAACCGATGTCATACTAACGAGGGTAGGACTGTAAATTAAATGCTTGAAAGTTGAAACTTCGTTTTTCAGATGAATCAGACTGCAAATCAATAGCATAGCAAAGACCATAGCTATCCCAGGAACACTTGAGTAGTGCCCTCTTTTACCTTTTTCTATGTTGTCCTCTTCAGTTTGAGCAGGTATGGATGTTTCCTAGTGCCTTCTAGAATTTCTAGGTATATCATTGGTCTTGTTCGGATCGTCCATTACGTTTGCAGCTGTTCAAACTTGTATTGTTGTTTATTATTTTATTGATTTATTTATTCTACTTGCCTTTCCTATCTTCTTGTGTTTTAGCATTAGGCGATTTGATCGCAGGACGAGAGAGGAGCTGATGGACGATCTCTCCAATGTTCCTCTTGGTTCGGAGCGGCGCCGAGTGCTGACGTTGGGACTTGGGTAAGGATGAGTGTTCCCTCATGTTTACAAGTTATCCGTTTTGTCCAACACTAACAGTTATATGCAGAATACTGCTGAGTCAATAATGTGCAACAATCAGCACCAAAACTGACTGAGATCATGACATTCAACGACCTGATGCTTAGCTGCATCACGTTTATACCCGTTAGTGTTGGAAAAAACGGATAACGCGTAAACTTATGGTCCTCTTTTTTAATTTTAATACTTGGCTCTCCATCCGAGTTCCCTCATGTGTTGCTATTATTTTTATTTACTTATTTTTTGCCCAGGGTCTACATTCTACATTTATTTTACTTAGACTAGGGTTAGCCGTCCGTTTACCAGTACTCATCCACACATATGTGCACATAGGGTCTACACAGAACTCTATCAGTAGGTATTTTTGATAGGAGGTTGTCTATCCTCCGGGATAGCACTATATACTCCCATTCTGTGTGTTCTCTGGTAGCTATGTTCCTTGGAGACCATATGACTGTGCCAGTGTGGTGACCGAGGTGAGGTGTGTCTGCACTGGCATCGTCAACTTGCCTACTGCTACGTGCTCCCCAGTGCTCCATCTGTGTCCTGTACATTATTTTTTGGGGGGGGGGTGGGGGGGAGGGGCAATACCGGTACTTCAGGTGCAGGGGGCAAGGGGGATGGGGTGGGGGACATCATGCCCCCAATGAACCTCTCCAGGCGTTGTTCTGGAGTAGACTAACCATAGGCGGAGTGTACACATGCAGCACATAGTTTGGGAGCTAGAACGCAATCGGACTCGGGCATATTCAAAGGCAGTCTATTGTGATAGTAGTCCTGGACGGATCTCACTATGATGATATAGGTCGTGCCCAGCATCACAATGCCAAACATTATAAATGACTGTTTTTTTTCCTGAGGGGCTAGATGAACATGTGGCTAGACTGCCGATGGCAACCAACAGGCTCAAGAGACTTCGTGTTTGCGACCCGAGTCAATTGTTTACTCACCATGACTAGGCATCGCATTGGGCACCGTATGACCATTTTATATGTCACTGTTCTTAGTCGCACCGGGGGCGCATGCCCATTTTCAGGAGACTTATCAAAACACATAAGCTCTGTGCCCTGAAGGTTAGGCCTATTGTTAGTCTGAATAGTCCTGGCTACTATCCCACTAAGTTCATTGACTTTCTACTGAACCTGTATGTACGTGAGGAAAGTACTGTTCTGGCCTGAACTACGGATTTCATCAACTTGGTAGAAGGTTTGCCTGTGCGGGACGATCATTTATAATTGAGTATAGATGTGACCAGCCTTTACACCAACATCCCCAACGAGCTCGGTCACGTGGCATTGTCGTGGTATATCACACACAGGTAAACAAGGTGGATGCCCCCGGCCCTTCGTACACGGTTAACAACAGCAGTGACTTCCTTGATGTCAGTCATTCGGAAGACTAACGGGTTCGTGTACGATAACGATTTGTTTCCGCAGATCCAAGGGACTGCCATGGGTTCGCCTGCAGCAGTGGTCTATGCCGACATTGTTATGCTGTATTTGGAGAACCGGTACATTTTGCCGATCTTAGAGGGGGAGGGTTTAGAGGTTCAGGTTTATAGACGCTTTATCAGTGACATTTTTGTTTCATTGCATGGTTACGAAGGTCGAGTTCAGCGCGCTTTAGACAGGATTAATAAGTGTTCGGCCCTCGAGTTTGCGCATGAACTGGCACATGATGGCATTGATTTCCTGGACGCCACAGTTTTCCGTAGTAAGGGATACATGGCGGTGAAGCCTCATTTCAAGGTCACCAATCGTTTCCTGTATCTGCTTGCCGGTAGTAACCACCCCCGTAGTATGGGTAAAGGTGTGATCACTGGGGAGTTGATCCGTATCCGTCGGTCTTCGACCCTTGACCACCACTACGAAGCTGCTGCCGAGCAGACGAAGCAGACTTTCCGGGCCCGTGTATACAAGAGCTCCATCTTTCATCTTTCAGACCGTTCACCAGGCATGCAAGGCCGGCACAGCTGGGGTGGCTGGGGCGGCCTCAGCCGCCCCACTTTTTTGGCCGTTTTTTTGTTCTTGTTTTTTAGCACACTGCAACAAAGCGCGATGATCGCAGCTCAGCTCAAACGTGGCAAATAATGAAGAATCCTTGTGTATCAAGGTCAAGGTGTGTGTGTGTGTGTGTGTGCCTGTGTGTGTACGTGCCTGTGTGTGTACGTGCCTGTGACGTGTACAGCACCGCTAGCTAAACCGACCAACGGCTACTCCCAGGGCACAAACTATTCTGCTGGAGGCAGCGTCGTCTTCGGCTGAAATTCCGGATACAACCTGCAGGGAAGCATTGTGCGCATCTGCCAGATTGACGGTTCCTGGAGTGGGGCAGCTGCCTCATGTAATCGTAAGTTGAATTTCAAGAGAGCCAATATATCCCTCTTGTGTAGAGAAGCTTCAGGCTTGTAGGAAGGCAGATTCTGGTGGCGTTGATCTTTCCTATTTACAGAGCATGTAATAGTCTGGGTGTTACCTGCCACTTGTCATCATCACAAATGATGATCGTGCTTATCACAGGACCCAGGACCAGTCGGGCATCTCAGCCTGAGTCCTTAGGATATATGTTATACTTGTAGGTGTATGGTTAGGGTGTTTCACCGGGTAGAGGCGACGGTTTCAAATAGGACACAGGTTGCAAACCGGAACGGACTCAATATTCACTTTCTTTCTTGGTATTTTGATTAGAAAACATATGTCACAGTGAGACTACGATGTGTTATACTCCGAGCCAAAATTTTTTTGGCTCTGCGATGACCAGACGCGCCATACCAAGCAGGTGAGTTTTTGACGTGTTGCTTCGCACTGCGAATTGAGTTTTACGACTTTCGAAAAGTCAACTTCTTGTCGCAGGTAAACAGCGGCTCGCCTCTTGCCAATAAAGCACCGCATACCAATCAAAACTAATGGAAGCACACACGCTTATTGTTACTCTGTACTGGCCGTCGTGGAGCGATAGCAATTACCTAATTTCAGACCCAGAGTGAATTTGACGTGCACTCTAAAACGTGTCCGGTTTGGAGCCACCTCTGATTTGAACTTTTTTGAAGCGAAAAATTGGGCAACTTGGAGGCAATGGGTCAACACAAAGGAGTGGCTCAGTTCGATTGACTCTGGCCCCAGAGCAAACTTCAACATGCCGGTTTCCTTCCACAAACATATTTCGAGTGAAAAATCAACGCTGATGATCGGTTTGGGTCTATACAAATTTGGCTGTCAAGGCGTTCCGGTATCGAACCGTCTACTCTACCAGAACACTGAGTTGTTGGCATAAGCCGGTAACTTTTGTCGAGCCTGTTTTAGGCTACCACCTCCTCCAAATATGCTAATATCTCTTGACTGTACAAAAGATGTGCCGAGCAGACACTTTCTTCATCTCTTGACTGCTTTGTGTGTTGTGTGTATGGGTACGTGTATCCAGCCATTCAACTGCAGTGCCAGTCTGGCTACCTGCCCTGCCTGCGTTCCAGTGGCTGTATCCTGCCATCACAGCGCTGCGACGGTGTTTGGTACGACTGTGCTGATGGCTCTGATGCACAGTACTGCCCAGGCAAGGTCACACCAGCTCCAGGTAAGCACCAGCAGCAGCACTGATAATAGTACCATGACTTCTATTATTATTACAGGGTGCGACAGAGCTCTCGGCCATTGAAGAAAATGTTGAGTCACCTCCACCACCACACTGCGGTCTTTAGCCGACTAGACCCTCCTGCACACAACCATCACCATTGCGAGGACACTTCCGTAGACGATATTGATAAACTCCTTCAGACAGCTGCTTCGCTAATACATAGCTCATCAGTGAAGGTAGATATTGAATGATTAAAGATATAGACCAAACTGCTATTATATAGGGGTTTCCACATACAAAACTGGCATAGCTGAGGTGATAACGCGGGAAAAGGAAAGTGTGAAGTACTGTTGACGCGCATTGGACATGCATGCAGCGTCGGATATTCGGCGCGGAAAATCAATCACTATTCAATGCAGAAATAACGTGCCAGAATCAGAGTACTATGTAGCTAGTAGTGAGAGTCTGTGTACTAGTATTGCAGTTGTCCGAGCGCCATGAAGGCCTGCGAACGCACCTCACGACCCGCCGACGTCGACAGCCACAGCAGCCCCTGGGGCATGACACTGTACTGCTCGCCCGTCGCGCCAAGACGCTTGGCAGTCACTAGGCTTCATGCCACCGATGTTGTCCGCAAGCTACCTTGTTATCTGCCCATCACCCACTGCCGCTGACACGCTGGGAGGCCCCGCGGCATTCGCCCAGTATATCGTCGTCAGAGCTGTGTCGACGGTACAATAACGCTGGTAGAAACAAACAGTTGGTCGTATGGTATTGCGTCCTCCGGATTGTCCCTTGACTCGTCTTGTCCCTCTTCTTGCTCTGACGCTAATGACTTCTATTACAAGCAAAATGTAGAGCTACTGTTGACCGCTATTCACTGCTGTATTTATTTTATTACTTTGCATGGCCATGTTGAGGCAGTCTTCGCATCAATTTCCTTTACACAATGCGTGTTTCTGGTGTATAAGAATGATCATTCCTCCATTATCATCATTATCATCCTCTACTGATGAGCTCCGACAGGGAGCGAAACAGCTGTCTAGGGGCGTGGAGCAATATTATCTCAACGGAAGTGTCCTTGCTGGTGTCTGTATGGTTCGGCTGAAGAGCGCGTGGTTGTGATGAGTTGGGAATGCAATGAATTGAAAATATGGCCGAAAGCTCTGTCGCAATATTTAGTTCTGAAGTTACAATGCGTGTACTACAATGTATTCAAAACCAACGTCTGTGCCACGCACACATACGCAAACGTTTTAGGGATGAAACGAGTATATCGAATACTCGAGCGCTTGCTCGAAAATTCGAAAGGAGTGAGGACTCGCTTCGCAAAATACACAAAGTATCTTATGCACAGTGTACTGTATGCTTGTACATCAAGCACGTCTGTTACTCTGACCAGTACTGATAACCCATGCAAGTGTGAAATTATTACTTGTCCCTACTTACCAACAAAAGACGTAGTTCAGACTATTTCCTGCACTAGGCTGCATGCAAGACTACATGTGTATCAGGTGTAATACGTTCAGTGTTACGAGAGTGTGTGCAGTACATTGTTTTATGTTGTCAGTAAAATACTCGTACTCGCTCGAATACTCGCTCGTTTTTTCAAAGAGTACTCAAGTTCTCAATTTTGGCACTGGTTTCACCCCTAGGCCAAACATGCATGCACTGAATGCCTGTGCTCTGTGCACTCTGTGCTTGTGCAGGTCAAACCGACTGCCAGGTCCTGTCACCACCGGCACTGGGCTCAATGACCGTGAACGGCTTGATGTTCAGCAACACGACCACGTTTGTGTGCACATCTCCCTATGTCCTTATGGGCTCGGCCGTGCGTACTTGTGAAATCAACGGCCAGTGGAGCGGTGTGCAGCCAACTTGCGTCCGTAAGTACATGTACCTATGCTCGACTGGCTTGTATTATGCATTCCCGTTCATCACACCGCTCATACTGTCAAATGCTGCCTCTTCTCATTCACAATGGCATGGGTCACAGTAGATAGGCCTGGTGCAGGTATTGCCAGTTCCTTGCTTGCTGCAGTACAGTATAACATATTAACTTAGCTGGTAAGCAGTGCATGTGTGCATGGCAAGTGTTAATTTTGTCCATTGCTTCCCAACCCATGTGTAGTGACGACTGCTGCTCTGAGTGCGGCCAGTGACGAGCTAGTCAAGGACTCCGTCTCAGAACGCATGACACAAACGTGTAAGCCTAGTATTGCTGCATAATTAAGAGCAATTTCTCCTACTGCTGACTGCTGAAAATGTTGTGTCCTTCACAACTAGTCTCTTTGTTCTAAGACGTCTGCCTCTTTCATCGATTCGTGTTTACCTAGCTGCGTTACGCTATTAGTAGCCTATTACCTGTTGTGCAATGGGGCTGGCCTAAAAGCTTCTCGCTCAACAGTTGTGTTGCATGGCATAGAGGGAGAGACGGCAAGCCGCCTCGGCATATTTGCGGATAGAGCTTTTATTAGAAAGGAAAAGGACATATGGATACGAGTTAAGAGTAACTGTCCACCACTGTAACTAGCTACTACAGTAAAAAAAAATGCAACAACTAGGCACAAAACTGACAGAGTGCTGAGACATTCGACGACCTGACTCCTAGCTTCAACACATCTCCGTAGCGCTAACCAACAGCCTTCCAACTTGGAAGGTTCAAGGTTAAAAGGAGAGACCAAAGAGGGGAAGGTAAGCACAACGAAAATGAGCACAAGCTAGTAGTTGAAGCTACAGTCCCACAAGAACAAGAAATGTTGATTGTTACTGGACGATGACGAAACCAGTATTACCTTTCCCTCTTTGGTCTCTCCTTAACACTACGGAGATGTGTTGAAGCCAGGAGTCGGGTCGTCAAATGTTTTAGTGCCTGGTTGTTGCACTTTCTGACTGTATTTAGTATATAGTGACAGTTACTCTACACTCATATCCATACATCCTTTTCCTTTCTACATTAATTTTATTATTGCCATATTGGCTCAACATCCGAGTTTCAAAGAGCTTTTAGTGGACGACTTAATCCATTTTCGGCAATACTTACAACGATCCAATCAGTCATATTGTAGATCAGGCTATGCTGTGGGTAAGTATACTACTGGCCTTGTATGGCTTATTGTTTGCCAGCGTGTATTTAGCATCATCTACTAGTATTCACTCGTTTGACAGCCAAAGAGTATTTGTGTGGGAGGCTGGGAGTTTCGCACCTGACTTGGTCACGTTGCGCCTGAAGGTCACTAAGACGCGGCCATATACGGTGGAGCCGTCGCAGTTCCATCTACTGTCGACGAAACATGCCCGGTATTGGCTATTCCGGTACATGACAGCCCATGCCTGTAGCACCAAGCCTGTGTTCACGTTTGCCAAAGGGATCCACCTTACTCGGCCTTATTTAAATAAGATACTCTGTCACGCTCTCAACTGTTATCAGGTTAGCTCCCGCTCCATGCCCATTGTTGGAGCGACAGTCCTGGAATCCAGAGTTGCAAGTGAGGTGGTGATACGGCAAGCAGACGGTGGCAAAGTACGGCTTAAAAGCTCTACATCTGGCAAGTGGCCGGCATACCACCCCAATGGACATTGGAACAGTACACGTAGAGTAGCATCTCTACGTGACAGGGTATGAGCGCAAGTGAGTTCTTATGCTCTACTAATGTGCATTGATTCTGTGACTATAGTTGGTGTACAGATCTCATCACATGTGCCTTAGGTGGGATTTGCTATTGTCACTGTAAAATTCAGCCCTAACAAACAGTGTGATGGATGAATTTGACTCCAGGTACTGTATAGCAGGAAATTTTCGTACGGAAATATTTTCGGACAAAGCCGAATTTCGACCTTTCGTACGGATTATATTTTCGTACAGTGCTGCATGCTAAATACACGTGTTTGCATGCAGTACGCATGTATAATGTACATAATTTCACATGAACAAATTTTAGTGCGGAATTAATTTTAGTACAAAAGAAGCCGTGTACGAAATCGTACGAAAATAAATTCCGTCCGAACATTTCCTGCTCTACAGTATCTGCTTTTGGGAATGCCATGTATGCATGTCTGGCGTGCTGCTGCTGCTATAATGTTGTGGCAGCAGCATTTTGGTGCGATGGACTGTTCTTGTAACGGTGTACCTACCCCTTTGCTGTTGCCGGATGCCGTGTCTTGTCAGTTGTGCCTGTTTGAAGGTGCCAGGCCAGCTTGTGTTGGTGCGTTCCCGTTAAGTTGCCTGGGCACCATATTTGTAACGGCGTTCCCGTTTTGCTGTTGTGGGGCTGTGTTTGTATCGGTGTGTTCCCGTTGAAGTTGACGGGGCACCACGTTAGTGGATTGTGCCTGTTTGAAGTTGCCAGGCCAATCCTGTAACGCCCCCCCCCCCCGTTTGCTGATAATTGGGGACATGTTTGTCCATTTTGCTCGAGATTCACATGGCTGCGCCAGTTGCCTTGTGCGGATTAGACTGTTATCTGGCACTAGTCTTGATCTGTTTTATTCAGATTCAGATCAGCTATTGTTCCTATACGAGAAAATCTGTGGGTGCACATCCAATTCATTTGCAGATTTGCGTGCTTCTCCTGCAACGGGCGTGTACATGGTACATGGTGTGTGGGCGTATGTGTGGTGTGTTCATGCTGTACAGGCCAGTATTGCCAAGCACTGGGGACCTTTGGCAATCTGAAGAATGTTTTGTCCGAGAATCGATCCTTGGATCTGTGGCGTTGCAGTTGTGGTGCTCCCGACCCTCTTGCGCGATGGCCGCGGAGACTTGGCGAAAAGGTTCGAGACATACGGCATCTCAATATCTTCCACCACAATCAGTACATCAGCACCACCATCGAGTGTAGCGACATCAGCAATAGAAGACGCACATGATATCATTCACCCTTACGGCCTTAGCGAAGACCCGGGAATACCTCAGAAGATGTTAGCCGCAACTTTACTGGAAAAGTCGTCGGTGACAACGGCACTCCATATTTTAGCTGCATGCAGTTAGGTCTCTCAACAAGTGTACCCAAAGTTTTCAAGCTAATACACAAGCAAATTCACTAGGGGCCGAGTATATTTTCCTACACCTCTCCCTGTTTGTTGTTGTTATTTCTGCATTCAAATTGTTTGTGTACCTGTACATTTATTACAGTAGAGCCACGTATCCACGGCTGTTGTTTCCAAGGTCAGGCTCGTCAGTTATACAAAACCTTTCAGCAATCTGGCCTTAGGCTTAGTTCCTTGACTTCTTGTACCACCTTCTTAGATGCACATCCCACTGGATAGTGAGCAATACGTGTGTAGCAGAATCTGTATTCCAGAAAAGCAGAGACTTGAGTCTATTGACACTGCGTTTCGTTTTAAAACGTTATTGGCTGTGGTGTTCCTAGAGGTATACTATACACGTACATTCCTGGGTCCCACGTTCTGTGACGCCCGACTGTATTCGTGGTGCTTCAACAACTTTTAATTTTGTGCACTCGGGAAAACCTGCCTGAGGCTGTGAGGCTGCAGAGTGTTGGCTGTGTTTTGCTTTAAAAAACCATCAGGTCTCCCCAGATTTTCTAGTCTGTCCCTGAATTTTGCCACTCTTCGGTTTCAAAACCTAGTGTGGTGGTGGAAAGCCTAGCAGTGTTGTGTGTGCATGTGTGTATTTTGTACAGTGCTGGCCAGAGAAATCCAACCTCGTTAATAAAGTAGCGCCGCGTTCGAGAGCACAGACCGGTCCAGTATGTTTACTACTAGGGCTGCGTAGCGCCCGGTGCAATTTTATTCATAAGGTTGGATTTCTTTGGCCAGCACTGTAGTTAGAAGTAGGTCCTCTAAGGTCCTCTGTTTGTGCGCAATTGTGGTCACAGTGGCAGTAGTGGGTGTGGGGTAGACTCAGTTACTACGAAGATGGTGTATACATGATGGTGTATACAGTCATGTAGTTGAATGTTACTTCGGGCTTAGACCCAGAGGTTCTTGCAATAATGACCCCGGGTTTATGTACATGTATCATTCAGCTACCGTTGTCATAATGGCACTAGTTGATAGAACACCTGTATAAGTACAGGCTGTATATCTAGCATTTTCCAAAATAGCACTCCGTACTTCGAGGCTGCAGCCGTTTTGCATGCAACGTTGTATGTGTTGATCGGTTGACAAAATGTGACAAAGCCGAGGACACCCTAGTGTATCAGGAGCACTGTTTTTTAACACAGTGCGTCCCCCGCCTTGTCATGTTAATTTATCAAACAAGGCTTACCTATACCAACATTATACATGTAGGGCTGTGCATGCTTTCAAAATTCTTCCTTGTTGAAGTAGAATACCGTGCTTGTGGGGGCTTTAGTAGTTCCTTTGCCAGATGTTCTATGCGTATCTCAATGACTTATCAGTTTCAGCACTCGGGCAAGGCACATTCGGGCCTACACATGTAGCCTTGAATTCTGGCTTGGAGGCATTTTTTATCTATTTTCATGGCTGCTAGGTTCATCCTTAGTTAAGAGTTATTTCTCCGTGATTCGCTGATTGTATTGTATTGTATTGTATTTTATTATTTTACTTGGGCATTCCCAACAGACCCTAAGGTCTTCTTACAGGGTGCCCAAGATGAATGAAATTGTTAAGTTCCTGGCGAAATGAATTGGGGATATGATTTGTGCGAAGGGATTCGGGAACTGATGAGTCCACAAAGGACGAAACAGCTAGACAGTACTAGTGCTGTCCCCAGATCGTGTATTCTAAATCCATAGTACTGACGCTCAATCTCCAGACAGCTGTTTCAGCCTTTTTAGGTCCCATCAGTGGAGCTCAGAGCGGGAGGTTAAACAAAATGGCAATACGGTCTATATGAAATGAACAAAAAAAGAAATTTGAAAATGGCTCAAAGCATCAAAGTCAGCGAGCTATCTGCAAGACACGCACAAAGAGAGCTTTGCACGAAGGCAGATACATATTACATATACCTTTGACACTAACCAAAAAGAGTGCTCAATCAAGTCAACGCAAGGCAGCGTAATCATGGTAATGCGGTGATCGAGTCTATAAAAAGCTATAGTGACATGTAGCCAGGCCCCCAGCACAATAAGCTGACTTGCATCATGCTAAAATCGTTCACACAAATCTCTTATAATAATTATTATATAGATTGCAGGATAGGGTGGTTGCACCAGGAAGTGCTGTCTCTGCGATAGTGGGACCAGCCAAGATTGCAGTACAGTCATCCACCATCAATCCAGCACTTCATTGGCCCACGCCCTCGATACACCAGCATGATTTCCGGAGTTATTACCATTCATTGACACATGCCCCCCCCAGTTCTTCGGCACCTGACCCGAGTTCTATTAGGGCCGCACTACTTTGTAGCAGTCATACTATAGTACTAGAACTGGATGCACGTGATATCCACTGGAGCTGGCGCTGGCCATGAGCTGACCCACCGCCGTGCCTCCCAGTGTCAATTTTGCTTATGTGATCCTACCACAATCTGGAACATTATCAGTACTCGCCTCTGTTGACTTGCCAGCACTAGTTCTGGCGGATCCGGGCATGTTTCTGCCTTCTCTTAAGCATGTATTCTCCTGCAGGTGCATCTTTCACCTCCTTCTAATGCGCGAGCACATTTTCTGTGGAGATTCAACGACACATACACCAGAAAATACAGAACGGAACAGTGGCTGCCAATGCGACACAAGTACCACATAAACCTAAAAACTCATAAGTACCCTGGGAGTTAGATGCATTTACGGGCAGTATGCCAGGATTTGCGCAGCTAATTTAAAATCAGATTAGCAATGCTGTGTGCTACCTAGGCGGCATCTTGGACTCAAAAACCAACCGATTGTGGTCCAACCCAACCGACAGCGTTGTCGGTGGGTTCCGATTGGCAGGTGTTGGATGGACGTATGATCCATGCGTCCCCACAAGCAATGAGAAGTTAACAATACCACTAAGGATATAATATCGGGGACAGCAGTACAATGAAACTGGGCCATTCATTATCAGCAATATCAGGGGTATATCCCATCCGATAAGACGTACTGCTCGTGTATGGCGGACTTTACAGCAGGTCCTGACATAGCTTGCCCCATGCCCTTTACCATTCCTGGGCCAAAACTGTTGTACAATATTCGAGAGGGTCTAGCCTAGTGAGTGTGAACAGAACCTGGCAAACCATATCTCCAAGTGATTCACATGTTGGTATATTCTCCGTTATCATACATCAATTCCGAGCAATTTGACACCCGAATATTCTCGCACCACTACTGCTGAAGTATTGACCACAAACCATGTTCCATTTGACTTACAAACGGAACTTGCAAAAGGCATGAGAGCACTGGAATCTGTAAAGACTCTCACATTATTTACTAGCCACCATACATACCTTTCGGGAAGTCGTGTTGGAAGCAGAATGCTCGGAGAGCAGAGCTGAGTGAGATCTGCATACAGTAACACAGCGACAATGAATCACATGAACAGAAGGTATCCGTACACATCTGAATATGTGCTTATGGGAGGAAAATCCGTGCGACAAAAGAGGATCGTGCTATGCAGGTGTATGTCTTACCCGGGTACGTACTAAGTGAGTTCCACCGTACGTATATAATTGTATTGCAATTGAATCACTTTACTGACTGGAGCCAAAAATATCAATTGGCACTTACTCCGGTTACCCGAATGTTTCGGTACCACTATCATTAGGTTTGTTGCAATCGAACCAAGTCATAGTTGAGTCATTTTCAATGAGTTAGGTGTTACCTGACGTGCCCACTGCATCAGCCGCTATGTCATATTCCACCAGGCATGCACCAAATCAGGCGCAATGCGCACACTGATGATGGTGGTTGTCACACAACGAGCAGTAGTAAAAGTGAAAGCACATTTTGCATGTGATTTTGTTGTAATTTGTGCCAGTCGAATTGTCTCAGTGTAACTAGTTTATCGTTAGCTTACTAGTTTGTTTGTACAAAAGAGAAAGACCAAGGAACTACAAGTTACGCTATACTGTCCACTAACACCACCAGTTACTAAACAATCAGCTCATGCGATAGCATTGCACGACACTGAACAGCTCTAGCACATCTTGGATGTGCACTCCAACAGCCTTGTGGACGACGACCGTCCCTGGAGAATCGGTCCGTCGCTCCACCAGCCCGGCGGCACAGTGGACAGTGCCTTGGGGGTGTCAGGCATGGATCAGGCTGATAAGGACGTGGTGGAGACGGAAATGATGTTTGCAAGGAAGAGTGATGATATGCGTATATGCTCTCCGCCAGTTGTTGAAGCAACAGTCCGGGAGTGGAAAGTCGGCAAGGTTAAAATAAGTGACCAACTGGGTGAAAGTACACCAAATGTGGCCCATCTCTTGAATGGTGCGGACCACGGCAAAGACCTGAAGTTGAAGGTCGTCAATGGCAACACCGCATGGTCGACGTCAATGGGAACATCAAGCCATCAAGTTGGTGGAACTATGGAATGTCCGTCGCAGGCTGCAGCGACAGGGTAACGTGCTCGGGGAAGAGTACAGCGACGATGATCAGCTGTGTCTTGCACGCAGTCGTGTTGATCGTGGCGTGCAGAACAACAGAGACAGTTGCGGTATTCGTACATTTGTCTGTTTAGGATTGTGATCCCCAGGAAGTCCTTTGGTGAGGAGTGATGTCACGCAACGAGCAGTAGTCAAAGTGAAAGGACTTCTTGCATGTGATTTTGTTGTAATTTTGTAAGGTGTGGTGGCAGAACTTTCAGCTGGTAGTGGGTGATGGGCTGGCGGTGTGACAACAATTACGGGCTTGACAAACGACATAATTATGGCGAGTCGATCTTTGGCCAGTTGCTGAGTTGGAGATTGTCACCGTAGACCCAGAGATCTGGTCCACGGTCCAGGGGTTGGGATCCCACTGTGGTGAGAGCTTGTGTGCCTGCTCATTGCGGCGTAAGACGCGCTGACCAGGAGTGAGGATGGGGGCGTTTGACCGGCGGGTGGCATCGGCAGCGTCGCACTGGGATTGGCGGAATTGCTGGTCACGGTGGGCAGCTGAAGGCAAGTCTGGTGCGGCTGCCGTAATGCAGGGTATGCTGTCGCGGATGGGGCGACCAAACATGAGTGTTGCCGGTGCCTCGTGAGTGGCAGGGTGTGGCGTGGTGCGGTACGCTAGGAGCCATTGGTCTAATGCAACATTGATGTCTTCGCCAGCTAGTTTGGCAGTTCGCAGAACTTTGCCAATGGTACGGTTGAGGCACTCGACTGCTCCGTTTGCTTGTGGCCACAAAGGAGGGGTGTGGCGGTGCTGGATAGCGTGTTGCGCGAGGAAATCAGCAAAAGCCGAAGAACGGAACTGAGGACTGTTGTCCGAGACTAGCTCTTCGGGCAAGCCGAACATGGATAATGTAGAGCGCAGAGCTTTAACAACACCGGCCGTAGTGGGTGTCGTGCTGAACACGTTGATGACCGGGTAGCGAGTCAACTGGTCGATAGGGGCAAGCAGGTGCTGACCGTTTGGCATGGGTCCATACAAATCGACGAAGACTCGTTGCCACGGCTTGGTGGGCGGTGGTGTGGGCACGGACTCCCGGACGTAGCGGTGTCGTTGAGAGAGTTGCTTGGCACGGAATACATTGCCGGCAGAGTGCTTCGGCTTCAGTAGCCATGTTGGGCCACCAAACCTTGCTGTTGAGCCGTTGCTTGGTGCGGACAATATCTTGGTGGCCCGCATGTGTAAGCTGCAGGGTAAGCCGTTGGAGGGCCGTGGGAATGACGAGGCGGTCGTTGCGGAGTAGTAGACCGTCACTCTCAGACAGTTCATGGCGGAGGGCAAAGTACGGGCGGACCATGGTGTGGTTGGAATCCCAGCGGCCAGATTGCAGAGAGGAAAGGATGGCTTGCAGTGTGGTGTCTGCGGTGGTGGCGTCCGCAATCTCCTTCAGAGCCAACGCATTCGGCTTAGCTGCTGTAGCTAGGGCATGTATGTACGCAGTGTCTTCCTGTGCGCCGATGTTTGGCAAGTCGGGATGAGGCTGCGGATTGCGACTGACGACGTCGGCCGGGTTTTCTGGGCCAGGCTTGTACTGGAGCTGGAAGCTGAGATCCTGCAGGCGGAGGACCATGCGCTCAATTCGTGGCGGAGGTCTCGATCCGACGGCCATGAGTTGCAGGAGCGGCTTGTGGTCGGTGACAATGGTGAACTGTGGATCACCTTGTCAAGTAGTGGTGAAAGCGAAGGCAGCCAAACTTGACACCCAATGCTTCCCGTTCAGTTTGATAGTATTGCTGCTCGACGCCGAAGAGTGCACGGCTGGCGAATGCTACAGGTGCATCGTGGCCGTTGCCTTGGCGTTGACACAGGATTGCGCCGAGGCCGGTGGGCGATGCGTCAACATACAGTGATGTGTATCGCTTGCGGTCAAAGTATTGCAGCATGCAGTCTTCGGCGATGGCCTTCTTCAGTGCATCAAATGATTGCTGCTCAACATCAGTTCAACGCCAAACAGTACCTTTCTTAGTGAGAGCAGGGAGTGGCGTGGTGAGATCGGCCATGTTACGAATGTAACGGCGGAGGAAGTTGGTGAGACCCAGGAAACTCTGTATGTCGCTGACGCAAGATGGCGTAGAGAATGTAGCCACAGACTGCTGGTGGCTGGGAGAGGCGCGGATGCCCTTGTTGGAGTAGACGCTAGCCATGAACTCGAGCCGAGGCTTGAGGATGTGACATTTGTGACATTTGGCTAGGTTGAGTTTAACGTTGTGATCTTGGAGCCGCTGGAGGCAGGCGGCGAGTCGTCGGTTGTGCTCTTCGACGCTCTTACCAAAGTTGAAGATGTTGTCGTGGACGTTCTTCACACCGTCGAGGCCAGCGAGCCATGGCGTCCAGTGTGCGCTGTAGGATCTCGGATGCGGACGATACGCCCATGGGCAGACGTTTACAGTGCAAAACTGCGTAGCGACGTGACTCAGGGTGGCCTGGCTCTCCACAGCGGTAGCAGAGCGATGTGCTGGATTCCCGCTGCCCTGGAGCGCGAGTGGCGACTGGGGCAGGTGGCTGGTGGTACGAGTTTGCAGCTGGATGTGGCGAAGACTGCATCGGTCGACGCGACGGAGTTGAAACAGTAGCGGGAGGCGGCTGTGTCCTTTTGTAGAACGGTGGCTGATGACGGAGGGCATTGAACGAGTCTTGTGTGTGCCGGAACGCCGTCGTCTGTTCCACTGACGCTTCAAATGCTCTGGCGGCCTTGAGCGCCTTGGCGAGATCAAGGGACGCAGTCTCCAGCAGTTTTCTGCGGATTGGATCGGACGTGCACCCTGCCACAATGTGATCACAGAGAGCCACGTTCTTCTGGGCATCGTCGGCGAAGCTGCAGGTCGTTGCCGATGCCAGCAAACGAGTATAAAACGTGTCTAACGTTTCGCCAGGCTGCTGGGTGACCTGCCGGAAGTGGAAGCGGGCCATGCTGGGGCTCTGCTTCGACTGAAAGTAGTCGGCGGCGGCGGTTATGAGGCCGTCGAGATCGTTGCCAGTGTTGGCTAACGTAGGGACGAGCTGCTGGATGTCCTTGCCGGCCACATACTGGAAAGTGTCTCTCTGGCGAGTGTCATCCGAGATGCCGGCTGCTGCGACATAGAGTTGGAAACACCGTTCCCAGGCAAGAAAATGGGCAGCAGCGTCGTAGAGACTGCTGTAGATCGGGAATGGCTCCGGAGGCGGTAGTGACAGTAGGGACATGGCGAGGATCAGGCGTTTGCTCGCAGTGCCAATGTAATGTTGTTCTCTTGCTGTATTCCAAACAACAACTAGCTCGGAGCTCCGGAAAGCTCCGGAATAGTGAGGTTTTGCATTCCGAATTTCGGCTCGGCATTCTTTGGTCATTTGTCGAACATCAAAATGTCGAATTTTCGCACCGACGTTTGTTTTGCAAGTCGAAAATGATGTGTTTTGATTTCGTGAGCCCCAGCATCAGCAATGTCCTGTCCCGTGCTCCTTTTCTTGCTGATTCCGACAAACTTTGATCGCGCCCAAAGAGTCGAGGGCCAAACCTGCCTCCTCAGTCGCCTCAGAAAAACCAACTCCATGGCCAAGTCAAATTTTATGGGTATCGCCATAGTCTTTTCAGCCACACAGATGACGGTGAGGACACTCCAGGCGAAAGAGAGTAGACAGGCAGTGCAGAGGAGCAATCAGAGGTAGCTGACGATGCTGATGTCGTCAAAGACGCCTGCGAAGCCATGCCAAGATAACCTCTTCGAATAAATCACGCGCTAGCGCTCTTCCACAAGAAAATTCATCCGAAAAATATGTTCGGCAAAGTGAGCTTTTTCCGAACAAACATGCCGCATCTTCATGTGCATTTTCGACCTCGCTCCCGCGTGCCGAATCTTTTGCCGAATTTCGGAATGCAAAACCTCACTAATATGATGCCAACAGAATGTAATGGTGTGCGTGCATGTGTACAGAGTCGGTGCGTACCGACTGTCAGCACAGGTGTGGAAAGCAGCATATGTAAATGGATAGGAGCACAAACGGTGCCGCGTGCATATATGTGTCGGTAGAGCATGAGACTCTTAATCTCAGGGTCGTGGGTTTGAGCCCCATGTTGGGCGCCAAATGTCGTCTCGGTTGGAGAACGAGCTGCCTCTACTATACCCTCGCCACGCCACACATCAAACGGACTAGTCAAGTGGTTTTTCTCTAGAGCTAGAGAGAGAGCTATTCATTACTACACTTCAGGAGACGACGGGAGAACTGACAACTGACATAGCGAAAGGAAACATGATATCGGAAAGTGGTGCCCTCATCAGCACAAAAAGTGGCGTACTCGATATCATATCAGCACAAAAAGGTGCACGTGTCAGCAATACAACAAAGCAGCGCAGCAGCATGTACGGGTCAGCAGCACAGAGACACAAATACAGCAGCAGGTACGACAAAGAGACAACACGTGCAGCCACATGTACAACATATGGGTGTGACAGTCCATATATGTACGTGTGAACACTACACACGATGAGAACATGCAAAGTATGGAGACCCAGACTGTGTGGTCAGCAGGACACAGCCCGTACAGGATGGAACAGACAACTAAACGTAATATAGCACCACGTACCGGCGGACTAGTCGACGCTGATGGGAGAAGTGGCACCCCCTGAGGCAGCTACGGATGCTAGAACTCTACAGCCAGAGTGAGTCGGAGTGAGACCAACACCAATATAAAACAAAAAGATACACCACACCAGGAAGCAAGTCAAATAAAGATGTGTGAACAACAGCCACACACCACAGAAAAGCATACAGAACAAAAACTCAATTACCGACACCATAGACACTGCAAAATCCAAACAGGAGGAAAATACTAACTCCCTGAGGACACTGAGCATGAGGCAAACGAGCAAGCAACCTCTTGCCAATGTTCCACCGTGTAACAACAACCGCGCTGGCCACCGGACTGTATGGTAGGGGTATTACACCTGGACCTCAAGACCAACGGGCGAAGGACAGCAGGCCGGGCCCAGGTAAATACAATGAGGAGCACTGTATACAACTACAGAAATAACCCAAACCCATGCCAATTTGACCAACATACCTTCCCTGCGCATCCATTCCTAGTGTACGGGTCTGAAAGATGAAAGAAGGAGCTCTTGTATACACGGGCCCGGAAAGCCTGCTTCGGCCGCTCGGCAGCAGCTTCGTAGTGGTGGTCAAGGGTCGAAGACCGACGGATACGGATCAACTCCCCAGTGAACACACCTTTGCCCATACTACAGGGGTGGTTACTACCGACAATCAGATACAGGAAACGATTGGTGACCTTGAAATGAGGCTTCACCGCCATGTATCCCTTACTACGGAAAACTGTGGTGTCCAGGAAATCAATGCCATCATGTGCCAGTTCATGAGAAAACTTGAGGGCCGAACACTTATTACCGTAGAATCCCGCGGATAAGCCCATGGGCCTATCTGTTTCACAAGGACATTTCGGTGGGCTTATACGAGAACATGGGCTTATACGCGGGCATGGGCTTATACGCCGACAACAAGTTGTGCTATTGAAAAGTATCAAGGAAGTGAGAAGTACATTGCTGAAAACCACTGTGCAAACAAAAACAACCGATGATCGTACTGAAATGTACGAAAAAAAACTAATGACTATGTGCGGTATGGCCAAGAGTCCATAATTTATGGACTCTTGGTATGACCTAAGCCCATGGGCTTGTTCGATGAAGCTTTGTGATGTTCGAACAAACCCTGGGCTTATGCGCGGGCATGGGCTTATACGCGGGTGGGCTTATCCGCGGGATTCTACGGTATTCCTATCTAAAGTGCGCTGAACTTGACCTTCGCAACCATGCAATGATAAAGCGTCTATAAACCTGAACCTCTAAACCCTCCCCCTCTAAGATCGGCAAAACGTACCGCTTCTCCAAATACAGCATAACAATGTCGGCATAGACCATTGCTGCAGGCGAACCCATGGCAGTCCCTTGGATCTGCCGAAACACATCGTTACCATACACGAACTCATTTTTCTTCCGAATGACTGACATAAAGGAAGTCACTGCTGTTAATAACCATGTACGAAGGGCGAGGGGCATCCACCTTGTACACCTGTGTGTGATATACCATGACAACCAAGCTCGTTGGGGATGTTGGTGTAGTAAAGGCTGGTCACATCTATACTCAATTATAAATGATCGTCCCGCACAGGCAAACCTTCTACCAAGTTGATGAAATCCGCAGTTGAGGTCAGAACAGTACTTTCCTCACATACATACGGGTTCAGTAGAAAGTCAGTGAACTCAGCGGGATAGTAGCCAGGACAATTTAGATTAACAAAGGCCTAACCTTCAGGACCCAGGGCTTAAGTGTTTTGAGAAGTCTCCTGAAAACGGGCATGCGCCCCCGGTGCGACTAAGAACAGTGACATATATTAGTGGGCATACGATGCTCAATGCGATGCCTAGTCATGGCGAGTAAACAATTGACTCGGGTCGCTCACACGAAGTCTCAACACAGCCTTGAGCATGTTGGTTGCCATCGGCAGTCTAGCCGCATGCTCATCTAGCCCCTCAGGCAAAAAAACAGTCATTTATAATGTTTGGCATTGTGATGCTGGGCACGACCTATATCATCATAGTGAGATCCGTCCAGGACTACTATCACAATAGACTGCCTTTGAATATGCCTGAGTCCGATCGCGTTCTAGCTCCCAAACTATGTGCTGCATGTGTACACTCCGCCTATGGTTAGTCTACTCCAGAACAACGCCTGGAGAGGTTCATTGGGGGCATGATGTCCCCCCACCCCATTCCCCCCTTGCCCCCTGCACCTGAAGTACCGGTATTGCCCCCCCCCCCCCCCACTCCCCAAACAAATTACAGGACACAGATGGAGCACTGGGGAGCACGTAGCAGTAGGCAAAGTTGACGATGCCAGTGCAGACACGGCCTGACCTCGGTCACCACGCTGGCACAGTCATATGGTCTCCAAGGGACATAGCTACCAGAGAACACACAGAATGGGAGTATATAGTGCTATCTCGGTGGATAGACAACCCCCTATACACAAAATATCTACTGATAGAGTTCTGTGTAGACCCTATGTGCACATACGTGTGGATGAGTACTGGTAAACGGACAGCTAACCCTAGTCTAAGTAAAATAAAGGTAGAATGTAGACCCTGGGCAAAAAAATAAGTAAATAAAAATATTGACTAGTTTGAGGGAAAGATACAAACGGGAAAAGTCTGAAGAAAAAATTGACTGTCACCAAAAAAATAATAATAGCTACACACACGAGGGAACTCGGATGGAGAGCCAAGGATTAAAATTGAAAAAGAGGACCATAAGTTTACGAGTTATCCGTTTTGTCCAACACTTACGGATATAAACGTGATGCAGCTAAGCATCAGGTCGTTGAATGTCATGATCTCATCAGTCAGTTTTTGTGCTGATTGTTGCACATTTCTGACTCAGCACTATTCTGCATATAACCGTTAGTGTTGGACAAAACGGATAACTTGTAAACATGAGGGAACACTCATCCTTACCCAAGTCCCAACGTCAGCACTCGGCGCTGCTCCGAACCAAGAGGGACACTGGAGAGATCGTCCATCAGCTCCTCTCTTGTCCTGCGATCAAATCGCCTAATGCTAAAACACAAGAAGATAGGAAAGGCAAGTAGAATAAATAAATCAATAAAATAATAAACAACAAAACAAGTTTGAACAGCTGCAAACGTAATGGACGATCCGAACAAGACCAATGATATACCTAGCAATAAGTGTGCAGAGTGTGCAGCTGCAAACGTAATGGACGATCCGAACAAGACCAATGATATACCTAGCAATAAGTGTGCAGAGTGTGCAGCCCAAGGATAATCATCACACGGCAAAGTTTATTGTTTAGGGCATAGACTCACAGTAACAGGCTCACCTTTGCTGCATCTCACACCGCTTCACACGGTAATCTACTGTATCACCATGGTAATTTCTGTTGCACATTGCAGCTTGTTTAACAAAAGGCAGAAAACACACCGAATTTCCAGGAATTACCATGGTGATACGGTACTTTAGCTTGAACCTATTGTATGACGGGTTTTCTATGATTCATAATGACCCAGAGAGAAACTAAACCGGTATCGAATTCCTGTCAGCGACGCAATTCTTCTGAGGTGTAAAGTGACTTCAGGAATATGTTGCAGAAAACTGCGATGCATGCTGATTATTTACTGTGCCCTATTGTGCACAATATACCAGGTGTGTTACTCAGGGATGAAGTAGATGCACACACGTGCCGTGCATCACGGCACAGGTTAGGTTTGCTACTAGCTGCTACAGTGTACTTGTGGTCCGAACTTGCACTCTACTCAACTCTGCATACGCAAAGAGTGCTGGTGCCGAAATGAACCAGAAGGGTGCTGAGTGGGACGCAACAACACTGACTCTGTATACCCATGTCCACAGATATGATAGGGTATGCAGTACCTGCTCTAAGATTTAACACAAACCGGGTACACGTCTACCTGGCACAACTCCTGCAACACTGGGCCAGAGCCAGATGCGTTCAAGTGCGGCTACTGTGTGTCAGGGAGTCGTAAACTTACTTTCGACTTCCTGATGTACATGATTGTACATGTACATGTGTGAACGTACTCGCACTGGGGACTCTGGCCGCACGCATCTGCACGCGTATGCAGCCTGTCAGTGGCGGTATACCCTCGAAGTATAAAAAAGTATAGTACTCGACAGGACTTCCGACCGGGTCGCAGGTAACCCAGTGTTCGTTTTCCAAAAGGTCCAAGTACTCACAAACAGGGCCACTGACCTGGCTCTGGAGCAGACGCTGGTAATCTAGGTCCAAGTTTGCTCGATTTTGTTCTGACGCTTCATGTGCTTTCATAGCCAAGGTTTCTCACTTTCTTCGTAAGCTCTTTTAGTCCCGAGAGTTGACAACTGCTTATGGTTGTATTGGCAGAAAACATATCAGCTAATCTGACAACCGTCCAACCCCATTTTACTGGTAAGTAGTCAGCGAGTGGCTTTGATGGGGCCATACTACAGGGGAAGTTACGCGGCATATTTGTGCTTCCTTTTTGAAAACACGTTCTCGCTCGAAGGGTTTCTAAACTTTATCCCTGCGCTCATTGATGGAGTTCATCGATGGAGTTGCCAGCGGCACTCTACAGAAGAACAATGTTGTCAAGTTTTTTATGAAAAATTGTCAAACATTTTCAAATTGCTATAAGTTTGGTTAGGGCCGGGTTCCACTGCGGCTCCGCAGCTCCACTGCTCCACGGTACTTGGCTGCATGCAGCAGAGCGGCGCTGTTCCAGTGACACTCGCCATTCATGGTACCGCGATCGTGCTCGACGTTTTTTGATGACATTTAGCCTGCCTGCGCGCGCATGAAATCCAAAAAAATCCTCGTGTTCTGGCCTGTGCAACGAACTAAAATTCCCCCGAATAAAACAGTTAAGTGCGGGAAGCAATGCAAGCCGTGACCGCGGCTTGCATTTTTTTGTATCAAGCAGCGAAGCGAAAGCTGGTGATGAGCCGCGGCCTCGCTGGACCAGCTCGTAATGATGACGTTTCATGCCGTGGATGATGTGCGGCGGAGCGGCAGTGGAACCCAGCCCTTAGGCAAAGGAAATTTGTCATTAATTTGTTTATGCTGCATAGATGGAGAGCTGCACACTCTGGCTTATGGACTCTCGCCTACAGTGTAGTCGTACTGCTAGTGTACTCACTGTACTGGCATTACAGAAGACACGAAAAACGAGAACATAATTATGGCGAGAAAGTAATTACTGGCTAAGAATTGCCCTAGGACTTACCGCTTCTCAGTGCTCCATACCAGGAAGTAGTACAATACCTACTCCCTGCTCCATACGAGTGTTTTCTCCGCATTCTCTGCATCCTTTACCCCAGGAGTCTCGTCCATTTAGCGGCTCAAATGCTTGAGCTCCGGATAGCGGAAAATAGCTCGTCGTCCATTAGCGGCTCTAATAGTACCTGGTCTGAAGTGTCGCAGTCTAGCAACTATGATTTTTTCCAGGAGGGTAAGGGTTGCAAACCCAAAGAGACCCTAAGCTTCGTCTATCAAACAAAACAATAAGAATTGCCCTAAAAAATGGAAGAGGAAAAGAGTGAGCGAGCTGGTGTGAGCGCGCTACTTTTCAAAAAATAGAAGCTGAAAGCCATCAAAGTCAAAGCATTCTGGCTAGCGCGTTTGTGTATGTCACGAGCGCTAGCGCGCTAGTCGCAGTAAACGCTCGCAGGCCAGAGTTAGCGCTATTTGGGCTGTTTGCCGCACGCGGCAGCTGGATGGATCACGTGATCCAAGCTGACAAATAAGGTCCGATGGTTCAGCTACATTGAGCCACAAGCATTTCCGAGTCCACCCAGACTGAGAGTCTGATATGATTCCGTGTTGTCGGCCGTTTCCCCGAGGCCGGTGTATGTAATAATAAATTAAATAATAATCTTTATTTCAGGATTACCCTATGAGGCTATGTGTGTGTGTGGATGTGTACGTGTGTGTATGCACGCTCGCGCAGTGAGCATTTTATTGTTATTCCATAGACATCTCGAGATAAATCTATTTGTATCGGTCACGTACATGATTACCGCGACTGGCCACGAACTTGGAGAGAAAAGACATTTCAAGCAGGCAATGAATGGCCTCCTGTCGATGGACCTCAAGTCGGAACTAAGTCTAAAGCCAAGGAGGCATGCAGTCATGCGATAGGAACCTCATCATTGTGGCCTTTCTCTGCTTGTTTGCAGCGACAGCGAGGGCGTTCGAGTGTCGAGACGGTTCACAGGGAGAGGAAGACTGTGCTCTGAATGGTTTCTGTCACAGCACTCGATGTGTATGCGATCCGGGATGGACTGGAGAGCGTTGCAACTTTCTGGACTTGCTAGCTCCGAATCGCAGCGAGCCTCATGGCTATTACAACGGAACCATGCCCACTTGGGGCGGAGACGTTATCTTCGAGAATGGCCTGTATCATCTGTTTGTAACTGCGAAAGGTTACACCCAGCCACCACTGGACCAATCGGATAACTACGAGTGTAACACGGCTATTGTGAGGCTTGAGGGACCAGGACCCGCAGGTCCGTACAAATTTGCCCAGGTCGCCCTGCCCGTGTACCACCACGAAGCCCACGCCATTCGCGCCCCGGACGGAACGCTGCTGATCTACATGATCAAGTTCGACGGTGGTGACCTGCCCCCGCAGCTGAGCAACGAGACTTGCCTGGCTCCAGGTTGCCATGTCTACAACTTCAGCCACCAAGCGACGGCAATGGCGTGGAGTGACAGCGTGTACGGGCCGTGGCGGGAGAAAGTCGTGCTCAACCCGTGGCCAGGCCCGGCAGATCGCTACTCGTGGCTGTGTCAGACAAACTGTCCCAGCGTTGCGTTCGCGCAGAACGGCTCAGTTGTCATGGCGCTCCGCGCCGTCCAATGCAATCAGCCACCGGACAGGGCAAACTGGACGTACGAGAAGATTGCCATAGCAACAGCGCCACACTGGACAGGGCCGTACACGATTGTCTCCAAGGAGCCAATATTCGGGTACGAGGTCCCAGCCGACTGGCCGCCAGAGCTCGTCACCCCGGGTCAGCCGATGCGCAACGAAGACCCGTTCATCTGGAGAACTCACCGTGGCTACCACATGCTAGTTCATAGCCAGCTGCTGCCGCACAGCCGGTCCCGGGGCGCGTACGCGTTTAGTCGCGACGGTCTCGATTGGACGTTGTTACCGGAGTTCAGCTGGCAAGTAAACATGACGTGGGCAGACGGGGATGTCAGCTTCTTCCAGCGACGCCAGGCGCCGGGGTTGTACCTGGACAAGGACGGCTTTCCGCTGTACTTGCTCACACCTGTGGATGAGCTATACAGCGATGGCTGCCACTGGGGACGCGGCTGGACACTCATGCAGCCGGTCAAGCGAACAGCAATGCACTTTGTAACGTAGTAACTGTTGGTTACGCTAGGAAAAGGCCGGGCGGGCGCTTTATGATTGCAAAGGATATTCACACGGGTGGAATTTGTTGCCTTTTGCCCAATGCGAGCTTTGTGATCGCGTAATCATTAGTCGCGTCACAGTCTCTCTCTATCTCTCTCTCTCTCTCTCTCTCTCTCTCTCTCTCTCTCTCTCTCTCTTTCCCTCCCTCCCTCTCTCCGTCGCCCCATCGGAGTAGCTCTGTATCGCAGCAGTCATGATAGACACCAGGGAATTGTAAAGGGTCTAACACGCGTGACAACGCCCTGGTGGACACTTGAACAGTCTTGTGGAAGTCTTACAAGCAGGTGGAACAGTATTTTTCTTGCAACTGAGTTCACGCTTGCACGGTCATCAGGCATTAAAGCACATCACCTAGTCTTAGGCCAGTGGGTAGTGAATCTTCTCCCTGATCTGTTCCTGAGCTTTTAGCGCCAGGCCCAGCACCAGCAACCAGCATGCTAACACTGTAGTCTACATGTCACAGGAGTAGATCTACTACATGACTGATGATTGTAGACTACACTCAGTAATAATAATTATTATTGTACTGAAGTATTAGATAAACCTTGTTTGTTCAAACAAGGTTCAGATTGTCGCAACCGACAGGGGCTCTACCCACCGTGGATGGGTTGTACTTGTAGTAAGGTCACTGTTTCCGAACACGGTGTCCTCCACCTTGTAACATGCTGCTGTCAGCCAACAACATGATTGTACACTACATGATTGTACATGTGTATCCACATGATTGGAGTTGGTGAGGCAAGCATGGCACCATAATCCAAAAACCACTGAGTGAGCTACATACCGCAAAGCCAAAGGCCCTGCGAATGTGATGTCTGGTGCTGGGCAGCCCATGTTTTATACGATCTGGGACAGATGATCAAATCTACAGCAGACTACGCGTTTGTACTCGTAGAGAGTCTACTCCTATTAGTGCGTGCTGCAGTCAACACGCATGATTACAGAGTGACATACAGTGCCACAACTACATGATTGTGCAAATGTAGCACAAGTCAAGACTCCACAGATCTGCAGAGTCAGTCCGCATGTCTGCCGCCTGGCATGGCCCCGACCTGGGGATTGACGCATTCACGATGTTCACGGCCGCTGGGCGCATCGGTCCGAAGTGTGATATCACCTGATCGCCGGTGCAGCGTTGCCTCGACTGACCCAGGCCCGTCCGAGGAAACGACATAGATCTACGTCTCGTGCTCCGACCTTCCACCGTCGGTCCAGTGGACTAGCTAGCGGGCACGCGTGGTGTCCTGGTGTCAGACCAGAACAAAATAATTGCTGCATGCTGCTCACGTCCTCTTCCACTGCACTCTACAGTGACTGTTGTAACTTTGTGGTGCCGTTTGCTATGTTGGCTGGTTTGTGTTTGACCAAACCCCCTTTCTTTATCTCCCTCTGTGCGTGTTTGCACGGGGCTTATCTTGTTCGTCCGGTAACTACGGAGGGAGCAGGCCTAATCACGAGTTGATTTCGGAAGCCTTGAATTGCACGTCGCTCCCTCTTCTCCGAATTTTGGGTGCATGTAGACTCAAATTCCCCCAGTCACGCATGCAGTGACAGCATCGGGTGATCTGGTGAAGAAGGAGTCGTGCGCTCCCAGCGACTCCTGCCGACGAAGGAGAGCGTTGCGCCACTCCCAGCACGCTATGGCCGCCGCATCACTTAGCCGGAGCGACATGAGATAGCGACTTATAATCGTTAGCAACGGTCACTGTCTCATTGTTCGACGCAGAGCAGCCACGCGAGGTGTCTTCAGCGTAGTATTCGTGCGGGAATAGTTGAGTTGGTTTCGCTCCTACCTCTGTGTGATTGACCCGCAAGTCCGGGATCCTAACCGGCACCGACCAACATGGGGTAAGTACTCCTGTACTGAACTCTTTCCGTTCGGTGTCTTGTTGGTGAACACTCCTGCTCGTTTGAGGTTCCGAATCAAAATTAATCTGAGTAGCTCCTTACTCGTAGCGGAGCATTACCTGATGCTACCTGATGCTAGACACAGCAAAGTCCTATAATATTATACATTCATTGGTTTGACTTTGAGGGAAAGATGCAAATGGGAAAAGCCTGAAGAAAAAATTGACTGCCACCACCAGGACTCGAACCAGGGACCTTCGATACATGTACATGCAGATTGTTTTCACAGCAGGTGAGGGAGCTCTTATCAGGCCTTACAGTACCCGATATTACTATGTGGCCTGCGGCTGCTGTGTTCCAACTCGTGACATTCAAGACATTATTTTGTGATGCGGGTATCTTTTGAATGGGGCTCCTGCAGTTTCAAGTACTGCCTCCTCCTACTCCCCACCCCCTGGAACCCACATACCGTCAGCAACCACACACTACCTCCATGTCTTACAGGGGCGTCGGAAGGTATTTTAGTGTGGTATGGTCAGCCATCTGAACTACTATTTACTCGTGCGGGAGGAGTGGCTTAGCGGAAGATGAGTGTATTTTATCAATTCACGGGGTACCTGGGGCAGAAAGTGGTATGGTCTCTCAATACCGTAGTGACCCTAGCGTGTCCGACGCTCCTGCCTTATTCTAAATCTAAACTGTTACTTGTTTGCGCTACTTCTAACATGTGTTGAACAGGTCTAAGGAACTGCAGGTGTTCACGACAAAGGCGCACATCTTTTCTCTGGACAAACGCACCAAGAAGGACTGGAAACCATTGTCGGCCAATCAAGCTGTTCCGCTCATTATTTATCACAATGAGGAGACGGGTGTTTTCAGACTCATCTCTTTCACCGGTGACCAGGTACTGGCTAGTATGTGCAGAGAGAGAGAGAGAGAGAGAGAGAGAGAGAGAGAGAGAGAGAGAGAGAGAGAGAGAGAGAGAGAGAGAGAGAGAGAGAGAGAGAGAGAGAGAGAGAGAGAGAGAGAGAGAGAGAGAGAGAGAGAGAGAGAGAGAGAGAGAGAGAGAGAGAGAGAGAGAGAGAGAGAGAGAGAGAGAGAGAGAGAGAGAGAGAGAGAGAGAGAGAGAGAGAGAGAGAGAGAGAGAGAGAGAGTGTGTGTGTGTGTGTGTGTGTGTGTGTGTGTGTATGTGTGTGTTTGTGTATGTGCACATGTGTGCGTACATGTGCATCTGTGTGTGTTTGTGTGTGTGTGTGTGTGTGTGTGTGTGTATGTGCATGCGTGTATATGAGTGTGTGTGTCGGTGCGGGTGTGTTGTCCATGAATGCGTGTGTGTGTGTGTGTGTGTGCGTGTGTGTGTGTGTGGTCGCTGCGGCCAATACCTGCTTAGCCGAGGCGGTCTGGTCCGTCACAAGTGGGTGACTGAGTCTCCGTCCACAGTGGAACCGTGTTGTGGTACACTCTGCGCATCCTGCAGCCGCTGCTTTCGTTCCGGGTCCGGGGCAGAAATACCCACCGCTGCTCCATTACTACCCAACGGCACTGTGGTTGCAATTACCCATGCCATGGCCCTAGTCCAGGTAGATTCTTGGTTTTGTGCCCTGGGCGCCACAGGACGACACTCTCCAATTCTCTCCCCGTTGCTCCTCCAGGGCCCCATGTGACGCTTGTGGCAGTGGCTCAGCAGCAGTTGTAGATATGCATGCATGCACTGTCCATGCTTTGAGGCTGGTGTGATCACGTGCTGCCCCCGTGTAGTGCAAGCACACCTCTGCAGGGGGTTGGATTTTACTTTACACCAATGTACCTGTCTGCCTTCACTGCTCCTGGTGTTGGATTTCACTTTCCCCCACTGTACAGCTGTACAGGTCTGTCTTCATTGCCCCTGGGTTTGGATTTCACTATTCATCACTGCATCTATCTGCCTTCACTACACCTGGGGTTGGATTTCACTTTACACTATTGTACCTGTCTGCCTTCACTGCCCCTGGGGTTGGATTTCACTATTCATCACTTTGCCGGTCTGTCTTCACTGCTCCTGGCAGTCTGACAAGGCCTCAACAACCGCTGTACTTGTCTGTATTTGCCGCCCCTGGGGTTGGATTTCACTCGCTATCACGGTACATGTTTGTGTTTTAGACGGTTCTCATCAACTGCACTATGGATGCAAGCATGAAGTTTATACGACCGTCGTCCAAGTTCTGTCAGTTCCTAGACACGACAGCGCGTAAGACCTACGGCCTCGGATTCAGCAGCTCTGCAGAGCAGACCAAGGTGAGATTGACAACCCGGGGTAACGTGTGTGTACATGCGTGCGTGCGCATATGTGTGTATGTGTGTGTGTGTGTGTGTGTGTGTGTGTGTGTGTGTGTGTGTGTGTGTGTGTGTGTGTGTTTGTGCATGTGTGTGCGTGCATGTGTATGCAATCGGCAGAAAACTGCTGGCTGTTTCAATGCTGTCGGCCCTGATTGTTATTTTGAGAGATGCCCCAACACCACATCTCCTGGCACCTGGAACCAACACCATTGGAACTAGTACATTCTCACTACGGCCTTTTCAAGTTTATCTTAGGATGAACCTCTCACCTCCAATGTCAGGTCCGAGATTCCTCCTCCCTTGTTTGCACACATTCTCATCTTTGTCCTCTGTTTCCATTTGATGTGTCTTCGTGCTACTCATAGTTCAAGGAGCAGTTTGAATCGGTTGTCGAGACCCTGGCTGCACAAGGTCGGCAGGACAAGGAGAGTGAGCACAGCGATGGTGGTGGCGTGGCCGACACTTCGGAGAAGGCTGCTTTGGTGAACTCCTCCGGTCGTCCAGAGAGCCCAGCGTCATCACCTCCCGTGCACAGCAAGCAGAACTCCCACGACGCTATGGCTGCTCCAGTTCCGGCGTCGCACGACAGCAAGACGACCACCCCGGCCGGAACGGCACCCGTCTCACCCACCACAGAGGAGCAACCGCCGCTGGTCCTCGCCGCTGTTACAGCCATCCCGGATACCGGACCCACTACTGCCAAACAAGCCGTTCAGGATGGGTGTAAGTTTGGTTTTGTGTGTCTGCAAGAATGCCGTATTCATCTTCTTGGTGGGCTCCGTTGGAGAGTCCTGGATTAATTTATAGGGAAGAAGAATGACCAAGGAACTACAAGTTACGTTATACTGTCAACTAACACCACCATTGACTAAACAATCAGCTCATGCGATAACATTGCACAACAATGGCCGGCGGTACTGACGTTCTACAACTACCATCTACTTGGGTGTTCATTCGCGCACACGGTTGTCCCCTGGTGCCGCCTTCCAACACCCTTCCATGTGTATTCCTCTGTAGATCTGTCTGTCTGTCTGTCTGTTCCCAGATTCCCGGCTTGAGTGGTTTGTGCTTTGTGCTCTATGTGTGTGTGTGTGTGTGTGTGCGTGTGTGTGTGTGTGCGTGCGTGCGTGTGTGTGTGTGTGTGTGTGTATGTGTGTGTGTGGGGGGGGGGGGTGTGCGTGCGCGCGCATGTGTGTGTGCGTGTGTGTGCGTGCATGCGTGCGTGCATGTGCGTGTGTGTCCGAACATCTCCATGCTCGCTGCAGATGGCAACGAGACAGTTCCGGCAGTGACTATCGCATCGCCAGCACCGATCGAGAACGCACAGAGCTTCAACGGCAGCAGCGGCAATACTGACGTCCCTCCGAGCCCCACCAGGAAACACCACGACAACGCACCCCGTCGCGAACGTCCCGGCTCTGGGTCGGGCAGAAGGACCGGCGGCAATCTACTGACTAAGCTGTTGAGCGGCGGAGGTTCTGGTCGTGACGTCAGGGACGAAGGTAGCGAAGGAGAGACACTGCCCGCAGGGAGCACTCAATGTAAGGAATGTATAACATAGAATACACAAGAGAGATTGGAAGCTTTGTCACAACTCTGAGTTTCACGTATTACTACGATCATCAGGCAACTATCAGGCCACTTGGCTAACATAGAATACAAGAACTGTATGGAATGCAAAGAATTTACGGAGTGGCAAGGCTTAAAGTCAAATCATAAGATCGAAATTGTGAATGTTGAACATGATTTGTTAGTGTCAGCACGAGTAAAGGTATGTTTTTACTCTGTGCTGTTGCAATCTCCTGCTGCAAGGCAACAATTTCTTTCTACTTTGTCTGGAAACAAAAAAAACTTTTCAACAGCGATCTTCTTTCAATTCGTGTGAATTAAGCTCGAAGGGGTCGAGTGATAGTAAGACTCCAACGGCGCCTAGTTCTTTCCGTCAATAGTTTTCTTACTTTCCACACATGTATCCACTCATTATCTGTCCCTGTGCGTGTGTTGTTCATGCGTGTGTTGTTCCTGCGTGTGTTGTTTCTGCAGCAAAGCTGGAGTCGAGCGGTGACCACGGACCCCGTTCCGTTGTCTCACCCACGGAGATCAACGTCAAAGCAGGAGCACTGTATAGAAGAGTACGTACAAGTACATGTATCCTTTTTTCTTTTAATCTCTTCTTTTTCAGAGGATCAGTCGGGAAGTGAGCTGCCTGAAAAGAGGAAAAAACGCCAGACCCACCAGGACCTTTTTGCAGGTTTTCTCTTTTCAGGCAGTTCACTTCCCCGACTGATCCTTTGAATTGGAAGTTCTCCCAATCCTTTAAAAATTAATCACTTTTCTTTTTCCCTATTATTAATTTTGTGTGCCTGAAGTCGATCTCATGTAATAAGGGGCAACACTGCCTGTTTTGTGTGCCTGAAGTCGATCTCATGTAATAAGGGGCAACACTGCCTGTTTGTTTGTCAACATTAAACAAACCAATCCAAATCCAATCCAGTCCATTTCTCCACAGAGCGACAAAGAACAAGGCTAGCTTGCAGTTCTACTCTGAGTTTCATGCTTACCCAATCACCAGCCAACACTTTGCAGGAGCATGAAACTACGATTAGAAGCAAACTATCCCCTTTCCCTTTGTTGTCAGGGGCGTTGGAACCGGTGCGGAAGGTACGGCCAAAGCCGTACCAATAATTTTATCTTTCAATTTTGAAGCAATAAGATATCTGCTATTTGGGTCCAATTTTCCAAACAAATCCCGGGAAAAACCCCAGTACCCCAGTACCCCCTCCCCCCCCCCCCCCCTCGCACCTCTTCATGGCCGCACCAATGTTGAATACCTTCTGACGCCCCAGGTCGTTCTGCGTGATATCTTTGCCCCTGTGGTAGTGAGCACCCTTTGCACACACTGGCTGCATCCTACATACTGTAAATCAACTAATTTTCGCTGGCGATTTAATTTCGTTGACTCTGAAGTTTCCCCGCTTGGTACCAACCGGCCAAAGTAAATCGCAGGCCCAAGTTTGTCATGGACGCCAGTGATGCATAATTTCTGCATGTGAGAGCAACAACTCCTGATCGGTTTCTTTTTTGAAAACGCCAATAGGCCAATGAGTTTAATGACAGCGAAAGGTTTCATTTCGAGATTCTCACTGGCCAAAATTTGCTGATTCACAGTACTCCATTGTATCTATCTCTCCTGCACTCTGCGGCTCGAATTCCAAACAAAAGATCTCATCGAGTTGTAGACCAAGCTGCAAGACTGATAAAACTGGGCTTACAGTGCTGCATGCCCCCCAGCACACATACACACAGTTCCACACCTGTTGTGCATAATCAAGATGACTCCTTGCTGAGTTATTGGCAGGTCAGTTTCCATAGTGTAGCGGTTATCACGTTCGCCTAACACGCGAAAGGTCCCCGGTTCGATCCCGGGTGGAAACATCCATTTTTTTCTTCTCTTTTTACTGACGCATCCCATGTAAATTTTACCATTTACATTTTGTAGATACACTGATTTGTGCTCCGAATTCCGAAAGCATTTCAGCCTATCCTCCCCCCCCCCCCCCATGAGTAAAGTTGTACATGAGATGGCTGGCCGTACCACCCTAGAATACCTTCCCACGCTTCTGCTGAGCAACAAAATTTTAATACCGTGCAAGGAAACTGTACAGTGCATGCAAAGCACATGCATATATGGCACCACACGCATGACATCATCTTTTCGACAGCCGTCTGTGTCGTCCGATCGAACTTTGATATTTCGTTTTCCTTGACGCTCGCCGCTGTTCTGCCTGCCCGTTGTGTGTTTAGGAGAACAATGCTCGCGATGACAGCCCGCAGCGCACCACGCAGCGCCGTCCGTCCATATCCGGCCCTTCTGCACCGGATGCGTCCGACCAGCTTGCTCAGCTCAAGAAGGAGAATGATCAGCTGAAGATCGCCTTGGCAACCAGGTGAGCATACAATAGCGATAGCACCATCCGTTTGATCCTTTTCGCCAAATGTTTTTTAGGGGTTATCGGGCAGAGCAAACTAGTATCGAAAGCCGATATGCGGAGGTACGGAAGTTCGCACTTGCCCCGTGCACGAAACATCTTGTGCACGCATACTAACAGGCTGTGCTGTTTTGTCTTTCACATTCCCCGCTGCCAATTCTCTTTGCCGTCCAGCTCATCGCGTGCTAACCAGTGGGAGACAGAGCTGCAGAAACTGAAACACAACAATGTACGGTTGCTGACTACGCTGCAGGAGAGCCAGAGCAACGTTGATGAGTGGAAGAAACAGCTGACACTCTACAAGGATGACAACGCTAGCATGAAGCATAGGGTTAGTGTAGTGAACACTGCTCACGTGTCTGGCGGGTGTGTGTGTGTGTGTGCGTGTGTGCGTGTGTGTGCGTGCGTGTGTGTGTGTGTGTGGGGGGGGGGGTTGAGAGAGAGACACACACACACGCAGGCACTAATGCCATCGCACGCTTTCCAACTGGTCCAGTATTGCCCATGGCACGGTTTTCGGTAAACCTGCTTACTCACAATTCATGCGTGATGAGGTCATTTCCAATCAGCAAGGCCACATTTTCAGCACTAACTAATGGACATGAAGTGAATTCTGATTGCAACCAATCTTACATGTTGTGTGAGATAGTAGGGAAGCTCTGCCCTTGAGCACTCTGTGCACAGAAAGGACTTAGAGGACCTGCTTTATTGTGTATTACCAGGGGCGTGGGAAGGTATTTTAGTGTGGTGCGGTCAGCCATCTGAACTACATGGATAATTTACTCGTGGGGGAGTGGTTGCTGAGCCGAAAATTTTGGAATTTTCAAACCCAGATCAGTGTATTTTGTAGGGGTGAAACGGTTACCCATTAAGGTTACAAACGGCTACGTGGCTTAACGGGCGGGTTATCGGGTACCCTTTAGCAGCCAATAGTAACAGTTGCTATACAATAACCTTCCACATTTCGTGCGAGGAGGACATGCGAAGTCATGCAATTGACAGCAAGTACACTACAACGCGACAAGCGCAGCATGCCCACTTACTGCGCTACATGCAAAACAGTCCAAATTGTCATATGTAGCAGGATCAAACCAGCAACAGCACATTCAATCTGTACATCGAACTGTACGACTGTATAAGCCATCTAATTATAACGTACCATACCATCGTACACGACTAACGGGTACTCGTTTGCTAACGGATCAGCAGGTAAACGGACGGGTACCCGGGTACCCGGATCACCCCTTTCACCCCTAGTATTTTATTGATTCGCAGGGTACCTGGGGCAAAAAGTGGTACGGTCAATACCGTAGTGACCGTAGCGTGTGCGACGCCCCTGATTTTCAGATGCAAGCAAGTCACGGTTGCAGTACTCTATTGTGTTTACGTGCCTGTTCTGTCAAACTAGATTTGCCCAGATTGCAAAGACGGTTTCTTCATACTCGAAACACATAAATTTGCGGGAGGACTCCCATCTGACCACCGCTCTCAACCACCCTCATCTCCTCATAGGCAACACATTCCATGCACAATGGCTGAATGGGTTCACCTTGTCTTGTTGGCATTGGTTTTGAGAAAGTGCCGCCATTTTGTCGAACGTTACCTGCGATCAAGTGACTGCCCTACAGCAGACGGGTGTTGCCTACACAGAACCGGCGGAAGCAGTATTTGATTGGTGTGGCCATACCATAGCCTTTCATACTTCTAAGTAGGGGTGAAAGTTGGCACTGAGATCCCGAATTGGAGTACTCTGATTTTCTCGGATCCAAGATTCGAGATTCTTCGTCTCCTAAAATTGCACACCAAGGGCTTTAATTTTATTTTAACTTTGCGTACGATATGGTGGGCACACTCAGCAGGCGTTGGTAGCCAAACAGTTGGTTTGGCCCATGGCCTGATCAGCAGTACTAGTTGTGCCGGGTCTGCTACCAACTCATTTCAAGAGGAACTTTGTACAATGTTCCACTGTGTGTTCTATTGTGATCATGTGACTAGTTGAAGGAAAGGGAACTGGCGACCCATCTGGTGACGCAGCTGCAGCAAGAAGCCAACGAATGGGAGAAGACAAAGAGGCAACTCACAGAGGACCTTGCAGATACCAGAACCAGGCTGGACAAGAAGGAGCAGGTATGCAACTAATGATGTCCCCCCCCCCTCTCTCTCGTTTCTTCTCTCCCTCACACGCACACAAACACTCTTCCTTTCTCTCAGACGTGTATGTTTGTGGCCATAAGTGCACGCTCACACTCTTGTCGGTATGCACAAACCCGATTTTAGTGTATTTGAAGCTTACGCAAATCTGGACATTCCGTGCAGTGCGCCTGCCTTCCAAGGATACATCTATATGCACACCGGTGTGTCTATCATCCTTGCAGGAATGTGAAAGCTTGACCAACGACCTGGAGACCATGTCCATGCTAGCGCCCAAGCTACAAGCAGCCAATGACAGATGCAAGGTAATGCAGGGCCACGCGGAACCGGTCCAGTTGGGCGAGACATGACCGAACCTACTTTTTGCCCACCCATATTATGTTTCCTGCTGATGCGGCCATGTGTACACCCTCCATATCATACACAAACTGTATGAAAGTCATGTGTACACCCTCCATATCATACACAAACTGTATGAAAGTCATGTGTATACCCTCCATATCATACACAAAGTGTATGAAAGTCATGTGTACACCCTCCATATCATACACAAACTGTATGAAAGTCATGTGACTACCCTCCATAACATACACAAACTGTATGAAAGTCATGTGTATACCCTCCATATCATACACAAACTGTATGAAAGTCATGTGTATACCCTCCATATCATACACAAACTGTATGAAAGTCATGTGACTACCCTAGTCCATATCATACACAAACTGTATGAAAGTCATGTGACTACCCTCCATATCATACACAAACTGTATGAAAGTCATGTGTATACCCTCCATATCATACACAAACTGTATGAAAGTCATGTGACTACCCTAGTCCATATCATACACAAACTGTATGAAAGTCATGTGACTACCCTCCATATCATACACAAACTGTATGAAAGTCATGTGTATACCCTCCATATCATACACAAACTGTATGGAAGTCATGTGTACACCCTCCATATCATACACAAACTGTATGAAAGACTAGGGTATGGCCGGACAAATCAAAAACTGCTTCCGCCAGTCCTGTAGTGTCTTCTTGCTAATGTGTTTCTCTTCCAGTCGACAAGCCCCGGCCACGGGGTGCTTTGCAAACTGCAGTGGAGACCTCTGTGCTCTGTGCTAGCCTGTTGAAGCACAAGTCTGCCAGTCTGCAATCCACCATGCTTTGAAAACTGCAGCGGAACCCGATGTGGAGTGCAAACCAGAGAGCATTCAAAATGGCTCTTGGGACGTTGCATGTCTGCACTTTGTACACCTAGTACCTACCCACAGCAGACTCAGGGTCGTCAAACACGGTACAGTCACTATGGTATTGACCGTACCACGTTTTTGTCCCAGGCACCCCGTGAATCAATATACCGTATTTTCTCTAATAAGAGCCCGGGGTTCTTATTTTTTCAGTGACAGCTCTACCCGTGGTACTATTAGAGACTGGGCTATTATTTTGTCAATTGTCAACTATCAAGCCAACTCCAGTCTATACAGGCATAAACTGACCATATCAAGACTGATTTTTCAACCCTAAACTCAGGAATATTGTCAAAACAGATGTTTCACAATAGCATTGGCGCCAGGAAGGAAGCAGTAGACCGAAAACCTCCTTACAAATATGTTCTTGGCATGTTGAAATGCTGTTTTATATGCAGTCAATATACTTGTTGCAGACTCCAATTGTGACCCGCGCTACTATTAGAGACTGTGCTCTTATTATTTCAAACCACCCTCACCCCGGGTCATTATTGGAGACTGGGCTATTATTGGAGACCTGGGCTTTAATTAGAGAAAATACGGTACTACACTGATCTGGGCTCAACGTTCTCAACATGTTCGCCTCAGCAACCCCCCATCCAGTAAATTGTACTTCAGATGGCTGACCGTACCACACGAAAATACTTTCCGACGCCCCTGGCAGTTCACACTGTTTGGCAACATAATTGGCTGAATTACCTGGCTTTCAGACTGAATTACCTGGCTTTCAGACTGAATTACCTGGCTTTCAGACTGAATTACCTGAATTACCTGGCTTTCAGACTGAATTACCTGAATTACCTGGCTTTCAGACTGAATTACCTGAATTACCTGGCTTTCAGACTGAATTACCTGGCCGGGGTTTCAGACTTGCGTTCAAAAAATCACGGTTCGAGTGAGACACAGCTGGAGGCCGAGTTCCCGCAACCGTAGGAATGCCATCACCCCCAAGGATCAAGGTGCATGCCGTCAACCAGGGGTCTATTCCCGCTGCTGGCATTTCATGTTACGAGGGGAATACGCAGTCGTTTTTGACCTGTAGATGATCATTGCACCAGAGAGCTCATCCTCGTGTGGTGGAGTTTGAACTAAATCAGTGATTTCAAGTTTGCAGGTTTAGCCTTTCTTGCTCTCAAATTTCTCCTCCCCTTCCATTGTATGTCCGTCCATCCACTTGTCTACCAGCTCAATAAGTAATTGTTGTCCATTTTTTGCATCTATCCGTCCCTGAACTATGATTTTCCTTGCTCGGCATCCGCTAATCTGTGCACCAAGCTGCAAATGTGGCACTTGTCGGTGTGGATTCGTTCCTGACGAGTGTGGCCACGTGTCCATGTGTGTGTGTGTGTGTGTGTGTGTGTGTGTGTGTGTGTGTGTGTGTGTGTGTGTGTGTGTGTGTGTGTGTGTGTGTGTGTGTGTGCGTGTGTGTGTGTGTGTGTGTGTGTGTGCACATGCGCATGTGTATGTGTATGCACATGTGTGCATATGCGCATTTGTTCATTTTGCCCTGTACACAGGAGCTGGGCAGTGCCAAAGCAGAGCTGACCGAGAAGCTGGCTGAAGTGCAAGACCAGCTTCGGCTAGCTCGCACGGCCAGCGCTATACGACTGGAACGCCTCACGGAGCAGCACAGGTTACTCGGCGGGACACTGCTGGAGATGAATCAACTGCACTCCCAGATGGAGCAGGACCTGCAGTAGAGCCAGCGCCAACACCCGCTCCAGCTAGCACAGCGTGCTCTCTTGCTGTGGCCACCCGGTGCTAGGTAACTTATGGACACTGGTGAGTCATGAATGACATCGTCATCACAGTGGAGGCACTCATTATTCAGTGTGTTCTATCAGCCATGACATCATCCATCCCCCATGATGACCACCCTGTGCTAACTAACTACTTATGGACACTGGTGAATCATGAATGACATCGCCATCACAGTGGAGTCACTCATTATTCAGTGTGTTCTGACAGCCATGACATCATCCACGATGTCATGGCTGCAGTCAATATTAACAGTGGCAAAGCAGGATCGCCAATGATGTCATTGGCTGGCTGCCTAGCATGTTTATGCATGTGCTGTGCTGTGAACCTGTACATGTAAGTCGTTACAGTGGTTGCAGCACCTTGATTCTTGATAACACTAATACCCTTGTCATATTGGACAAGATCAGAAAACACTACATCACTGTGGCATAGGATTATGTCATGATGATGTAATATCACTACCAGCACGTGCATTTAAAAAAAGGATAGACTATGCCCTCTGCGTGTGCGATGCAGCCGATGCAACCGTGTGTGTGTGTGTGTTCACTTCAAATAGCTGTGCAGTGTAGACCAAGCTGAATACTGTAAAAGCCATATATACTACGAAGTGCTAACTCTAACGAGTTACCGAGGAGAAATCTGTCGTTAAAATAGAAATCGTATACAGAAATCGATACTGCACTGTCCTATTGAGCGTTGAGAATGAGTGAGAATCCGTCAGGCGAAATAGCACGTCATCGTACATTTGAGACCAGCGGGAAGAAGATGACGACGTCCACTTATTTAGTATCTGTGCACACGAATGTGCTGTGTGTGTGTGTGTGTGTGATTTTGTGTGTCAGCTATGGCACGAGGAAAACATGGATGCAGTGAATGGGATTTTCGGTCTTTGACCACTTGCTGGTGAGCTGATCTACTCACCTCCCACCGCTTTAGGAGCTGCATCTGCGCCTTGATCCTTGAAGGGTGGTGGCGTTCCTACGGATGCGGAAAACCCGGCTTCCAGCCGAGTCTCACGCGAACCGTGAAATTTAAAGGGGAAGGCATATGATAAAGAACCTTAAAGGGGAAGTATACCCTAAAATCAAATTTTCACCAGTTGTAGTCTTCGGGGTGCTGAGTCGAATGGTCTTGGTCCGAGGAAGCTGAGACACTCCCTTCCTACTTGAATCCCAATCGAACTCGCGCACTTCCACCGAAACTGGGTGACTGCGCCCTACGAGATGGGGATTTGTATGCAAAATGTCACTAAAAGCGCCATTTCGTTCTTATAAAAGCACGGATGACCGCGATTGGCCCATATGTTGTAGTCTTTTGGACGCTGAGTCGACTGGTTTTGGTCCGAAAAGGCTGCGATGCAGCGTTCCGCCTTTATTCCCAATCGAACATGGTTGAACAAGCGGTCACGTGCTCCTGCGTACGCCAGTCACCTGGTCACGTGCCTGCAGGGTACAACTTACTAGCCTGTTTGACCTTTTTTGGGTGCAGTCCTGTCACTCGAGTTGAACTCGAGTTGAACCTTGGTGTGAAAGTTGTCACCTGCTGGCGTGGTGACCAGGTGATTTGGGCACCCAGGAGCACGTGACCACTTGTTCAACCATGTTCGATTGGGAATAAAGGAGGAACGCTGCATCGCAGCCTTTTCGGACCAAAACCAGTCGACTCAGCGTCCAAAAGACTACAACATAAGGGCCAATCGCGGTCATCCGTGCTTTTATAAGAACGAAATGGCGCTTTTAGTGACATTTTGCATACAAATCCCCATCTAGTAGGGCGCAGTCACCCAGTTTCGGTGGAAGTGCGCGAGTTCGATTGGGATTCAAGTAGGAAGGGAGCGTCTCAGCTTCCTCGGACCAAGACCATTCGACTCAGCACCCCGAAGACTACAACTGGTGAAATTTTAATTTTTGCCTTAACTTCCCCTTTAATTATGACATCAAACCCTGTGGTTCCATGCCTAGCATGTAGGTCAGAACCATCCTGCAAAGTTTGAATGATGTAGGTTGAGCGATCGCTCGGCCAACCATACATTTTGAAATTCTCTTCGTAGTATACCTTCCACCATTGAAATTTCGAATTTCTTGCTGAGAGGGGTAGCTTGCAACCTCGATATGGCGTTTTCCAGGCATGCTGTGAAGCAAAACCCTGTTGAAGTAGTGGCAGGGATCTGCCCTGCAACTGCTACAACAAAAAATGATTCGATCTGAGAAAGCGTGAGACCGCGAATCTGGGTTGAATATTGAGTATTTCAAGTCTTTTCACGACAAAGATGGAGTTCTTTTTGGAGATGGACGTCGCGGCAAAGGACATGGTTTCCGACTTCTGGCGTCTGGTGAAGCCAGGGATCATTTGTCCTGTCAGATCGGCAGCCTAACTGTCGGTAAGCTAGTGTTTGGATCCCGTTCTGCTCGATGTGGTAGATCACAAACAATTAATTTGATATCGCACAAATTGATCTCTGCATCGTGCGTACGGTATTTTATGTTCAGAAAATCGCAAAGTGTATCTGTGTGGCCGTCCATGCCACGAGACACTCCAATCAGGCTCCTATGTCCTCTGCCTTCTTGATTGAATGTCCACTTCGTTTGAACAACGAACACAACAATCAAGGACGGCTTTGCAATGAAAAATACAGCTATACTGGAGCTGAAAAAAAGAAGAAAAAACGTGCTCAGGATGAGACTCGAGTACACGCGTACTCTCCCAGCAGGCTCTGTGGATGTCGCTCATAGATGCATGATTTCGCGTGACGGTTAATACCTTCGGTACACGTAAACTAGTCAATTTTGGGAAATCGTTATATATGCGCCTCGTTAGAATAATGGCTTTTACAGTAGTAGCGCTCAATCCTTCAGCCTTGCAGGCTGCTAAATGGTGCAATCCAAGCGCAAGTTGCTATGGCCTTTGCTCTAGCATTGCTATCATTGCCTCCGGCGATGGGCGTCAGACGGTCAAAGGTGTGTGTGTGTGTGTGTGTGTGTGTGTGTGTGTGTGTGTGTGTGTGTGTGTGTGTGTGTGTGTGCATCTGTGTGTGCGTATGTGTTGACTTCAAATACCTGTGAGGTGTAGACCAGGCTGTATGGTGGTGGTCAATACTTCCGAGTCTTTCAAGCTGTTGAATGGTGCAATCCCAGCACAAGTTGCTGTGGCATTGCCATCAATGGCATCGTCGCCTCCCGCGATGGGCGTCAAATGAGTAAAATATCAAAAGGTGTGTGTGTGTGTGCGCGCGTGGCCTGTTATCGCTGGTGGTCTTTGCTAGTCAAATCACTGAGCCACGCATACAGTACTGTCGGTCGGCGTGCGTCCTTTGCCTAGACCGTTCTTATTCTCATGTATTGCAGTCTATGCACAGTGTATACAATTGGCATGCTGTGCTTGGTGAAATCCTAGCCCGGTCGGTCTTTGGCGCCCGACAATACTGTATGGTGAAGACAAACATGTGGCTGACCACTGCCAGCCAGCAGGCATCTGCACACACTGCGCGACCACGTTCGGCACAGCGGCCCACACAGACGTGCTATCCCATGTGCATTTTTGGCCGAATCTGTGTTTGGAGCCAAATTCGGTTTCAATTGGGTTAGAATAAGGCCAGAGACGGTTTAGATTGGTCTGAGTGAACCCCAGGCTGGCTGTAGGCCTCCCCGCCTTTGTGTCCGAGTCTGATGATTTCAAAACTCATTGACCACAGCCATGTGCATGTATGCATGGTGGGTTTAGTCTTTCATAAGTGTACTGCGGGCATCATTGATACTTGATCAAAAGATTCTAACACTCTGAAATACAATCTACTTGCACTGCTACGCTGGAGCGTTACGGCTGACCTGTCACCCTTATTTTCAACATGCCGTCATGCACTCATCACGATGGCAACGTGTAAAAAGATAAAATAAATAAAACAAGGCCACCTAGAATTAATTTGTTGTTTCGGGTCACTTCACTCATCCGTACCATGTACCAGGGTAGGTCGGTCAGGTTTATTTTTTATTTTATTTTATTTGGTTACTGCCATGCGCCATGTACATGTACATGTGCATTAGGGGTGAAACGATTAAGGGATATTCCTTAACGGTTAATCCAAAACTTATCGATTACTTATCGATTATTATCGATTAAGCACCACTGACGACAAAACTCACCATTTTGCATAAACTACAATCAATTTTGGAACTTCAAAGAGAACAAAAATAATGGAAACATCGACCGTCGCACAGGCACAAACTGATTCTGAAGGCTATTTGTCCTGAACAGTGAGTTCCGTGAAGCAACCGGAACGAAAGTTCGCGGGTACGAATCAGTGCACGGTGCAGAGAAAAGAGCCGCGTGTCACACAATAGATCTAGAGTACATCAGGTAGATCTACCGGGTACACGTGTAGTGTGTATCCAGAGCATGAGCAACTCGCTGTGCGTGCTGCACGCGTTGATTGACACCTCCGTGCACGTGCGCATCGACTCGTACTCTGGTACATGTGCTGCGCGCAGTAAAATCATGTAGACACACTGCACCTGCCGGATATTTCGTCGTACCGTATATTATGTCGTACGAAATGCTGTAGCGATTAGAAAAATCGTAATCGACTAGATTTTTTCGACTAATTTATCGACTAAACCACATAATCCTTTCACCCCTAATGTGCATACATAATATCGAATAGCTTTTGTCCATCAAGCCAGTCGATCAAATCTAGACGATCCAGCGCCTTCAGATCTAGGTCCCCAGCTATCACTAGCTCCAAGACCAGATCTTGACCTCGTTAGCAAACGAGTCTGACGAGTAGCTCTCACCAATACTTCTGTCAATGAGCGACGCGGTGGCGGAGCTGATGTTGTTTCAGGACCGATCGTAGACCTGCCTCTGGACATAAGCTTATCCCAGAAGCGGCGGAGCGTCAATAGAGCACCACCTGCAGCAGCATCATCATGAGCAAACCAGACCTGTATGGCCTTTGCTAGAGCATCATCGGATACCTCATCGCACGCGCTGATTAAAGGAACCACACTTTGCACATACATCGCCATGGACAATGGTCAGCCTTGAGTTATACCTTCCTCTGACGAGAGCTCCATTCCGCCTGTGACGAATAGTCTAGCTGGTGACCGGTAGATGTTACCGACAATTGTGGCAAGCGGGGGGCAGGTGAACTGAATGTTGTGGGGAGCTACAGCATGGTTAAGCCGGTTGAAGGCGTCGTCGGCATCGACGAGCAGCACAGCATCAGTGCCCGTGGAGGCAAAGACTTGGCGCAGGGCATGGATTGCCGCCTCGCACCCAGCAGAATGGCCTGCACAAACTTGCGAGGCACCGGCAGCTTGCGTGATGTCTTTACCGAAGACAGTCATGACGGACTTGCCAATAATCCGTCGCAAGACCTCACCGATTCCCACAGGCCGGACCCCAGGATCTGTGTCCAAAGGAATTACATGTAGCCGACTGTTGAGGAGAGGGTTGAGTCCTACCGGGTCAACAGGTGCCGTAGCCAGATGCCGTGAGACTTCTGCTACCGCATGGCAAAGCTCCGTTGATGCTGCCTTGAAAGACACTACAGTCCATTCATTGGAAACTGGCACCCTAACTTTTTGGTGTCTCCCACACATTGTTGTAGATATCGTGAAAGCAACAGTACATCCTACGTTGTGTGACCCATGCAATTACTCCTTGCGACATTTGAGGCCAGAAAAGTCCAAGAAACAAAAAAGAAAAGTCCAAGAACAGGGAAATAGAAATTCAGCCAGGTTTTACAAATTAGGACAGGTATGCCATGGGAAATGTATGGAGAAGTAGATCCCAAATCCAAATATTTGAGATTTAAAGTGGGTTTTTGATCCTCAGTTCGGCCCAAATCGGACTTTCAAAAGCCAGCGGGACTATTTCCGATGAATGGACACTAGCGTGCGCCTCCAGACGTAGGCATCACCCATAGAGGGGCACGCAGCTCCCTATGTGGCAAGCGCGGTTTCGCGCACCACTTCGCCTGGGAGGGTCTCAAAGAGAATGGGGGGGGGGGGGGGGGACTGTGGGCATCTCGCCTTGTATTAGCACGTCAGGGTCCACAGGCTGGGCGTTAGGGTGCTTGACTTTCAGAGCTTCGTGGACCTGCGGAGTTAGTTCCAGTACTCCTCCCTTTCCATGGTCAGTGCTGGGTGAGAGGGCAGCATGGATTTCTCCCTTGCTGGTCAGGACCGCAAAGCGAAGGTTCAGCTTATGGGTGGTCATATCCCACTGCAGGTGATGCTGTGAAAGTCGCGCCTGTACTGTCAGTGCTTCATCCAGCAGCTCCTCAATCTTCACAGCCTTCCACAGTGCAAGACGACGGGAGATGTTGGCCAACGTCGTTGGCGCTTGCCTTTGCATGTGGTTTCTGTAACAAGAGGCTCGGTACTACCATACATTCTTCTAAATTGACATCGTTGTGCTTCGTCACATTATCACCATGTACTGATTTGAGAAGTAATGGTGCGAATAGCTCATCAGATTTTCAACTGGCTTCGTCTCTGCGTGTGCTACTAGGTTTAACTCCGACTACATCTTATTTTATTTGTTATATACATTTCAAAAGGGAGGGATTATGGATATAGTGATAATTATAGTCAATTTGTCGTCATCTAGAGCGTGGAAAGGTTCTGTAGAAAATGATCTTATGTCTCAATTCACTTCAAGTGAGCAGGGAGGGTATTCCACATAAGGGATGCTCTGGCAGGAAAGAATTGCACCCTACCATGGATTTAAAGATGCAAATTGGCAAATTGTTTGTTGTAGTTCCACGAGTTGACGGAATAGGACTAGACGTTCATGATTTCTGCTCCAAAGAGTGCAGTATACGAAAAGGGAAAACTGCCAACTTTTACTTAAGAGGATGGTCAAATTATCCATTAAGCTGAAGCGCATGGCGACATGACATCCAAGCACGACAGCCACGCATACACTCAAGCAGGAGTCGTAAAATACCGTGTATTTTACGACTCCCTGCACTCGAGCCAGTATGTTTGATTGTACAGGCAATTGTGTAAGTTCAATCTCCACACTGTTGCATGGGCAGAGTTTCAAGTTATGTACTAGTTGTACCGGCAATGGGAAAATCTGCTGCTTGCCCTTCGCCTTTCATGTACAGTAGATATTGGTTATAACGTGCCCTTCTGATTTTTCACATTTTATCACTATAACCGGTATATCACTACAGGCGATTTTCAACTGCGCTCGTCATACATACACATTATACACGTGTGGGTACTCGATCGCGCTAATGTAGCGTACTGATACATGATGCATGCTGCTGCACCTTCCCCAGTCTAGAGTGAAGAACTTCTTGGCCCAAAAGCATCATCCAGGAAGCATCAGACCAGAATACACTATGAAAACACATATGTGGCTCCAAGTCGAGACATCAATGCCTCACACTCGTGTGTTGCTATCACTATAGACGATCATTTTTCTGCACAAAGAGGTGTTTTGAATGGTGATTCTGTATCCTTATAGCCGATTTATCCCTATATACGATATATTGGTTATAATGATAATTTGACTGGCCTTTTCTGGTTTTGCTTTTGATATTTTCATTTCGTATCAATATAGCCGGTTTATCACTATGTCCGATGACTTTATAACCGATATCCACTGTACATGTATTGAAGATTGTACAACATGTGCATGTGAATGGTAGCAACCATCAACTCTGGAGTATCGGCTGCACATACATGTACATGTAACTCAGGGAGATTTGCCGACCCACCAACACTGCAGTTCAAACCTCGAGTTGTGTGAGCCATGCACACTACCACGGTAACAGCAGTACACACTTGCCATAACAGTAGAATTTCCAGGCAGACAATGTTCTTGTTGCACAGGATATGATTTGTGATAGAAAAAGCATATGGATGCATGGTTGCTGCTTGGCAACACAACTTACTAAGCTCAGTATAGCAGTCCCAACATGCACAAGTGTCACAAAGCGGAGCGAGCAGGCTAGAAAGCGTGAGAATGTCGAAAACGCAAACTATCTGTTGAGAACAATGAAGAAAAGAGTGTTTCAAGCTTTTTTTCTTTTTCTTTTTTACAATGATGACAGCTCACAGGCAAAGACAAAACAAAATGCATATGGGAGCATACTGATGGCGAGGCTTGTTGCCCCAGGCGACCTGAGGTCTCGGCATCATGGGGACATAAACACACACACAAAAAAGGAAGAAAATAATGAACTTGAGAAGTAGCAGCCGTCTAAGGGGAAAACGGAACGTGAGAAGGAAGAAACGCCATGTGAAGAAATATTGTATAAAACGCCACAGATGCACCTCTATCCTTGGCAAGAAAATAAACTGGGAACAGGTCTTCTCGATGTTGACAGTAAAATTGTAGAACTAATGTTAATAATGAACATCTGGGCTGGGTACAAGTACATTGTGTTTACAGTCATTAGATGAACAAAGGAAGTAGGCGAATAGATGCGTTACCAAGCTCAGCCCGGAAATAAACTGGGAAGAGACTTTTGTCGATACTGATTGTGTCCGCTGCTCCAGTGCGCTCATGGAGAGCAGTTGCTGTGTGCGCCACTGTGTCTAGTGTTAGAGAAATTACGTCGTCCTCCAACCACGGCACGCCTAGTGCATTGCCAGCCGTTTGAAGAACATCTTCCTGACTCGATACCCATCCGGGGAACTGATTTCCATGTGGCCACATGTCGTTTTTCGCTACTGGAGTTTCTTGGCTAACAAAGCCAATGTAAGAGTCTCCTTCGCTGACCTGCACACGAAATGTTACCGGTGGCGGGATGCTGCAGACGGTGTGCCAGTCGTAGTCTCCCCTAGGAAAGCCTGCTGCTAGTGTAGCTTTACTAGATTGCCGAGACAAAATGATGCCTTTGGACTTCGCGTTAACGTCAAAGGTGTGACCAACAGAACTAATGAATGTGCGCAGACTAGCATCACTTGTTCTGTTTTCTCTCCATTTTGAAAACCACGTTAGAACCCTTGCATCGTTAGCCATTGGTGCAAACTGAAACACTAGCTTATAATTGTCTGGATCGACATGTTGAGGAACGTGTGATGTCCCCTGGCTTTGCTCCTCAACCGCAGTGTCCGGCTTATCACTGCTCTTCAGGCTCAGGCTAGTCGCACAGTCATGATGTGGCAAAACGTGCAAGGCAGCGGTGTCACTTACATGTTTTGTCAGAAACAATAAGTTGTTGCGCTTTCGAAGCTCTTCCTGGGTGTTATTCCTGATGCCCTCCAGTTTCTTGAGAACATTCCACCGTGCCTGGTCTAACTCGCACCGTTTCTCCTTGCCTCTCTCCTCGATGATTTTTACAGCCATAGCTACATCAGCAGCGATCTCAGCGGATTTCGCTTCAACTTCTGCATTGATTGCCTTAATCCGAGCTTCCACAGCAGCAACAACATTCTGCAAGTTGGGGATTTCCCTAAGATGATGTCGCTCCTGAAACTCCCTTAGCTCTTTGGCAGCAACACTGACCTCCAACACATCGTGACTGCTGTGTGCAGTGTGTTGTTTGCTGGTGTGGCATCTATCACACATCAACACATTGCATGACTTACAGTAGGATCGCAAGTGTTGATTGTGCAGCGGACAGGGGTCGATGTCCCCAGAAAGCTCCATTTTTCTCTTGGACGCGGGAACATCAGCCATACTGTGATTTGCACGCTTTCTACTTCGGACATGAAGCACTGCGTGCTGGCGACACAGTGAAAGATCACACGTCAAACAACGCGTGTTGGCCGGCTCATCAAAACCAGCACAATCTGAATCCTGGCATAGCTGTGTAGACCGATCGTGATCGCTTGGTTGCAAGTCACAAGGTTCAGACTCATCTCCATCATCATGGTTGTCGTCATGAGCGGTTGAGCGCGGAGTTGGCCAGTTAGGGAGGTAGGCTGTGAGTTTGCGACCTGGACCAGGGTCTGGTGTAACTATTTGACATCGAGCACAGCGAATAGTGTTGTCGTAGCGCAGAAACTGCTCTGCACAGGATTTGCACGATACGTGAAGACACTTGAGTATTTTCAACTGACTAGCTGCTGCACCGGACTCGCCATTAGACTGGCAGAACACACAGTTCTCTCGACATTCTAGCGCAGAGGCCGAGCTTGCAGACTCTGAACTTTCCATTCTCGAAAAAGATCTAGAACTCTTTTCTTTGTCTCATTCGAAAATATGTGTACGGCACATGTATAACAAAATTAAAAAATGTTTTCTAGCAATCCTATGAGCGTTAGGCTTTTTTTCTTTTTTTTGTCTGTCATGTTCTGTACTACTCAGTGCGAATCGTACCAGCTACGGCCTAGCTAAGCCATACGAATACGATAGGCTACATGTACATGTACCTAGTCCTAGGGCCTAGCCAAGAACTAACTAAGACTGAGTAACTAATATTTTTAATATTAAAAATATTACTTGAGCACCTGTAGTGTACATAAAGGGCGCATATCGACTGGGTTGTTGTCAACTACTAGAACTAGGGTAGATCTACCCTGTAAGAAGGCCTTAGGCCTGTGGGGATTGCCCTATCAAAAATTTGATATTATACTAATAATAATATTACGGAGGATTAGCAAGACGAAATTCGCGTTCGCGTTCGCAAACATTTTTCAGATGGCGAACTAGATTGCGAACTTTCGCATTTTTCGTTCGGAAAAGTAGTCGGAACACGAATCGTGGATTCGTGTCAGGGCAGTCATAAATTTACCACGCTGTACTGCCTACGTCGTGTCAACATCATGCATGTGCGAATTCTGTTTGCTAATCCTTCTCATAACGCGAATTCCGTCACTGAGTTCGACTTTCTTTGGAGAGCGAACGCGAACGCGAATTTCGTCTTGCTATTACATCCTCCGTAATAACTAACTAATACTAGTACTAGATATGGCATGTTCTCCATTTCTTTCCTTGGCGCTGATAGGTGGAATTCTCTGCCTGTCTCGTGTCGTCAGGTTGAGCATCTATCCGTTTTTGTTTCGCTCTGTAAAGAGCACTTAGGGTTCCCTGTAACAAGACGGCAACGTCTGTAGGGCCTTCCCTATCAAAATAATAAATTCTACTACTACTAGTAGTACTTACTTGTCAACCGCTAGGCAGGTCGGCGAGGTCGATGCGTGCTGCTGTTGCCTGTTGGCAATGGTAGTCGACCACTAGTCCGCGCGTCATGTCAGTCCCCAGCACATGCTCAATTTCCATGGCAACAACCGTGACAACAAGGGAGTGCCAAAACCGTTCTTTTAGTTTTACGCTTGACAGTGGAAGCTAGTAGTACTCATGGTACTGGCGGAGAGCTTTCAAGATAGCGTAGTCCGTGAGCCAAATCTCAGAATCGGCTGTTTTAGCATCGACCGTTGCACCCAGAGAGGGACAAATCGTCCTTCGGCACACCGCTTCACGATGGTATCCTGAAGCGATTTCCACTTGTTGGACAGTTCGAAACTGATCCAGGGAGGTCACAGAAGACGCCAACCATCCAACTTTGCTCACTGACAGCAGCGGCCATTTTCGCCTTCTTCGCTTGATATTTTTGCGCTTGTTCACGGATTCTCATTTTTTGAAGCCATGAGCAGATACCACGAGTGCACATAACGCGGAAACCAGTGCACAAAACTAGATTCGAATTTTTTTGCCGCTGAGAATTATGAATCGGGATGCAAACTGCATGCAGCAAAGTCACTACTGTTTGTAGTTACAATCAGGGAGTCGTCAAATACCGGTATTTGACGACTCCCTGGTTACAATGCAATCGTTCAGAACTGACTTCCAAGAATGTCCTAAATATCTCTCGACATATTTGTTCACGACTTCCTAGGCCAATAGGCGTAGACTGTAGTGAGTAACCTTCTGGAGCAAATGACGACTGCCCCGAGCATGAACTTCTTTTCATCCTGTTCAAGGTCAAATATTACTCAGTTTGCGTTGAAGAATAACAATTACATTCGTGAATGGCCGAACTGAGAAAACCCTCATGATTTCTCTTGGATTTCGTATCCCAAGTTCCCCTACTTGGCTGGATAAATCGCCTCTTTACTTCATCATACTGGACTGGAACTTGTAGATAATAGCGAGCAATGAATTGGTGAGTGAAGTATATTTCAAAAGTAATAACCACTCGATTACTGAATAGTAGTGAATACGTAGAATACTCCAGTATTATTATTATATGAACACTGAAGCTAATGTGACATTACAGTAGTACAATAGGAAGTACGTCACCACACTGTTGTAAATGCACGCGCTGATCCTATCCAACCTGACGGCCAATGCAAGAGGTTGGAATTGGCTATTGATTTCCTAACACACTCATACAGCACCAAAAGCTATCTGTCATTGCTCATTTTCAACTCAACATAACACAGTTGCAAATCACCAGGTGCACATCTTGGCACATAATGTGTGCTGTCGCAGTCCACCGCAGAACATAGTAATCCACAGATAACTACCGATATAAGATGATGTCACATACATACATACAGTAAAACCTGTAACTAACGACCACCCCTTGGTGCCCGGAAAAGTGGTCGTTAGTGGCAGGTGGTCTTTAGTTAGAGGTTTGCACCGCGCGACCATATATGGATCCCATTATATGATATGTATGTCAAAATGCAGATAATACAATCCCCCACCACTTGCGCACTGACATTCTTCTTTCAGATCATACACCACTTGGAGAGAGAGAAAATCAAGTTTTTTATACACTGGAAGCGATACGACCTTTTGACACGTGACGTATGTCGACTCACTATGCTCACAGGGTTTCCAGAGCAGTGCTGGCCTGGCCAGGCAGTGCACTAGTCACTATCGACTCCATCCTCATCTGTGTGCGACTACACTGGCAACTGGTATCAGTGTGTTGATCTACAGTGGAAACTCAATCGCTCCGACTTGGATGTAGTGTAGCGTAAAATGCGGCGATGTTGCGAGTTTTCGCACCTTTCACTGTAGACTATTATCCGCCATCGTATCCTGGCCTGTGTTCCGTACAGGTGAGTACATGCTAGCTAGCCAGCACAGACTGTCAGTGTGACCTGGTGTAGTGGTGAGTCTGGTGACTGAGCTGTGGCACTTCGACAGAGAGCCGCTCAGTCTTTATATAGTTTCTCCTTCGAGTAGTAACTTCGATCAAAGAGCGCTTTGGATGCGCTCTCCAAGACGTTTCCTATCACGTTTGTTCTTGACAGCACTTGAAATTATGACAGGTGTAGTGCAATCCACACTGATTCCACAGTAAAAATGAGACTGCGCTCATTTGTCCAGCTGTAGTATCGAAACGACCATGGAAAATCATCAAAATTTCGAGAAGGAGCTTCAAGCAATGTTTGATTTGCTACATCGCGGTCGCTAGTTACGGGTCAAAATTCGACATTGGGACAATAAAAGGCGGTCGCTGGTCGCGTTCAGCAGGTAGTCGCTAGTCACAGTGCATTTTGAATGTGAGACCGTCCGTGCCTGACAAAGTGGTCGGTAGTACCAGGCCGGTCGCTAGTCACGGTGGTCGTTAGTTACAGGTTTTACTGTACATACATGCATGCACGCGCACCCACACCCACACGCGCACACACACACACACACACACACACACACACACACACTTGAAGCAGCTGAATAATCCGACTATGCAGTCTCCCAGGCACGCGCACACACACGAACCAGCTGCCGAATCCAACTATACAGTCTCCCAGGCATGCACGCTCGCACACACACACATGAACCAGCTGCCGAATCCACACAAACACGCGCGCGCGTGCGCACACACACACACACACATGAACCAGCTGCCGAATCCGACTATGCAGTCTCCCAGGCATGTGCGCACAAACACGCTTATGCGCACGCGTGTGTGCCCGCACACACACATGAACCAGCTGCCGAATGCGACTATGCAGTCTCCCAGGCACGCGCGTGCATGCGCACACACACATGAACCAGCTGCCGAATCCGACTATGTCAGTCTGCCATGACTGCGAAACCAGCGAAGACATACAGTGCATTGGCTGCTGCCAGACTGGTCTGCTACAGGTTTGCGACGCTCTTGAGTACACTTGTGGCATGGCAGGCCGCTCTTCGAAAAGGAAATGTTACAATTACTACACTGAATCCGATCACGGGAGGCCGGCTGTGGTGGTGAAGCAATTCTGAATGCTGTGCGCCACTCTCCTCGCTGCTGTGCAGTGTCGAACCAATGTCCTTCAAGATGTAAGTGATGGATGTCCCTTCGGACAACATCACACCAATGCTGTCGGGTTTCACACACACACACACGGCGCACACCGTGTCGACAATTGCGGAATCTAAAACCCACCAACGACCTGAAACACGGATCGCACTGGCCGCAGTGGCTGTGGCAACACCGTGCCCCAACACCAGTAGTAGCCTGGGGTGGTGTCACAAACAAAGGAAAACGCCTAGCATGCACATGCACGTGCGCGCGCACACATGCACGCTCGCACACACATGCACACTCGCACACATATGCACGCGCGCGCGCACACACACATGCACGCGCACACACACACGCGCCCACACACACAAACACGCGCACACATGCACGCTCGCACACATGCACGCGCGCGCACACACACATACACAGCTAATGGTATACAGTAGTATGTTGCCCGCAAAGCAGCCAGGTGCTCTGGCTTGGACCTCCAGCAGCGCTGGTTTCGCCCTCGCTACTTGTCGTCTTGCCCTCTCCAGTGCTGCCTGCAACAAAACATTCCCTTCCGGAAACTCTGGGTGGACCAGTTCTCCGTGTTGTGTTTACACCGTGCTCTGCTTTCACCGGTATGGCATTCGTTGTTCGTATCAACCACTAAGCTCCTGGTAGGTGGCCCCTTACTGGCCTTAGGATGTGGCTCTGGGTTCACTACTACATGCACATCACTGTCAGCAAGTATAGACAAAGCAAAATCAGAGGCACTGGTCTTCTCCAGGTTTGCAATAGACCGATCCCCTTATTATACTGGGTTCGAGCACGGGGGCAACCTCACTCGCGATCGAGCTAGTTTTTGAACGTGACAGCATCTTTGACAGTGTGTTTCAGGTTTGTTTTGGAATGTCTTCTGCTTAGTTCAAGTAGTTTGCGATGGCTTCGAGCGGTGCTAAACCTCCTGCTGGTAGGTGCAGAGTCT